TTCATAGTTTTGATGTCTTCACTATTATTCTACAATGTAGAAAATAGTAAACATAAAGAAAAACCCTTGAATGAGTAGGGGTTCTAAAACGTTTGACCGGTAGTGTACTGTAATGGTGATCAAACAAAGTCTGTTCCTGCTCTTCCCCACAAACACCTGCAGACTGCAGTAGGATGTTGCTTCTGGAGGTTTTTGTGGAGAAGACCGCGAAGATCAATAGTTCAGTTGATAAATAATGAAAGACCTGTAACCTGGGCCTTTGATGTAGATTTTAAAATGATCTGAGAGTGCTTCAGACACCACTACAAGAGTACACAGATCAGGGCATGTGCAGCCAAGTTAAAGAAAATGAAGAATAAGTACTTTTTTCAGAGCTGTTTGTTCCAGTCCAGCCAACGTAAAACAGGATATATCCCAAATCCCTTTCCACCCTCTGCGTCATAAGCTTGAGACTGTATTTTTCCAGGTCTGCACCTTGAACGCACACGGACAACTTTGGTTTTACTAATGTCCAATCAGAAGAAATATATGGTATTGGGAGAGTGACCCATTATTTATTTTCTTTACAGTAGTTTTGGCTTTCTACTCCAGTACTTTGGATTTGAAATTATACAATGACTAGGAAGTTGAAGTGCAGACTGTCAGCTTTAATTTGAGGGTATTTTCATCCATATCGGGTGAACTGTTTAAAAATTACCACACTTTTTGCAGTTTGTTTTGGTTGCGTTTCAGATTATTTTTTGCCCAATAGAAATAAATGGTAAATAATGTATTGTCATTTTGTAGTGACTTTTATTGTAAATAATAATATATAATGTTTCTAAACACTTCTACATTAATGTGGATGCTACCATGATTATGGATAATCCTGAATGAATCGTGAATAATGATGAGTGACAAAGTTAGACGCACAAATATCATGCCCCCACCAAAAATGCTAACCTCACGTTATTGTAATGATGAGAGGTTAGCATGTCTTGGGGGTATAATGTGCTGAAATACAGAGCCACAACAATAAAACAATGTTGTTGGTCACTGGCCCAATACGTTTGGAGCTGGTATATAGCACAGAATCCACACACAATCAAAAAGTACTGTTGTTTCAGTGATGGAAGTTGTCAGCCTCACCTGGGCACCATGCATCCCCCCGGACTAGAACTCCAGGAACACAATTGTGTAAAAAACCAAATGTATTCTATACATGGATAACTTTAGAGAAATCTACTACCATCAAAACACCGTAACGATCACCGACAACAACTGACAGCGTAATAAATAACACCACAGCTGTACTTCCAGTTATTTTCTTTTAAACCATGTTTTATTATTCCTAATATGAAGATACACAAGTCAACAAACATTATTTTCGATCTGTAATGAAAATGCTCCACAGCACACTGACATCTTGTGGAAGGGTCTGGTATTAGACATACCTGAAAATGGACAGCAGTTATAGTTGTAGTAATAAGTTCCAGCAGTAACAGTAGTAGTAGTAATAACAGTAGCAATAATAATAATAATAATTAATCATAGTAGTGGTATTAACAACTCAGAATTAGTTAAGTCACAGAAGGAACTTACATTCTTCAAAAAAATTAGAAATGAGAGTGGGTGGATAGGCTTATCAAATGATGCAAAACAGATCAGACCACTGCATGAGGAAATACAAGCCCCCGTGAGACAGCACATCTCCTTGTAAATCTAGAAAAAGGAAGCTCCAATTTGCCATCAGTCCTCTCCTTAATGTATACTGTATTTATTTTCCTCTTCTAATAAGAGACCAAGAGACCATTTTAGGTGTTCCACTAACTTTTAAAACCAAAAACCTCAAAACCCTTTTAGGCTCTCTCATCATCATCATCAATAATACAATAATTTTCCGGTCAACGCTCACCAGTAGCACACAGACTGAACATCATCAACCCAAGTCTGGAACCAAATCACAACCAGCTCCACATATTTCTGCTTGGCTGGAAGACCAGAGTCATTCTACCTTAGTATATCGGAGTGTGTGTGTGTGTGAGCGAGAGAAAGAGATGGAGAGAAGGAGAGAAAGGTAGTGTGTGTGTGTGTAAAGAATGTGAAATAGTGGCTCCAAGTAACATGTCCTTTTGCATCACATGGCCAATTTGGCCAACTCACCTTAAGAGCCATTAACATTCATAAGAAGTCATACTAGAATGTACAGTGCTAGACTCATCTTCAGAGACTTCAATGGGCCTGGGGAACCTGCTCGTGTCTTGAACTGGGTCACTGTGGGAGCAGTTCAGCCAGTAGAGGGCTACACAAGCTACTTTTAGAAGGGCTGTGGCCGATCCAGAACTGACTGCCCTGGTAGTAGTTTGTCACAGTGAATACTGACAGAGCAACGCTCACTCCGTTCTACTCTGAGCATTGCTGACTTTGTTGCCTCATTGAACAGGTCAGCGGGCTTCGAACTGTGATTAAAGAGCCAGACGGTCAACTCAGGATACAAACCAAGGCAGACAAAAGCAGTCAACTGCCTATTCTACAACCTCAAGTATTATGGGCCACCTCCTGCTTATTTACCCCAAATCACACCAACTGTATTGGACTGAAAGGCCAATAGTTCAATAGTCTTGCCTGTTGGAAAGCTGCACATTTCTGACACTTAGCCACTTGTTCTTTCCATCTCTGGTTTAGGGTGAGCCATTGGTCATATAATAACCTAACAGGGCTTTGATACGCCACACCCTCACCCCAGACAAGCCTACCACTGAGTAACAGATACCAATGTCCACAAGAAATGAGGCTCCAAGATTCTGCCATGTTTAGAGCCGTCTTTTATACAGAAACCTTCCACTCGTCTCAGACAAGAAAATAAATCTCTCACTGTGCCAGGACTCGCTGTCTATATATCAATGTCATCTTCACTGTAATTTAATCTCATTTAACCATTTTTCTTTTTGCCCTATGTGAATTCTTTCCAAACTGCTAATGATACACCTGAGCATTCCTGTGTAATACTCCACCCTCCACAGCATGGGCTTCATGGTGTCATGCCATGCTATATATCGCTTACGCTGAAATCTCATGTACCTAGAACATCAAAGTAGATGAGAATTGGAGACAACAAGAAGGAGGAGACACATACAAGTACAATCCTACATGAAGTCATGCCACACATGGAGGAGCTCAAAGCTCTCCAGACTATTCTCTCTATCGTTTACCATCAAGTGAGGAAAGCGATCCATGGTTATGCCTCTTCCAATCCAACAGAGTTTTGCCTGCATTTCACGTCCTTCAATTGCTGCTGCGGCTGGGCCTGTCTGTATCTGCCCTATGGTACCCGGGTACAGAATCCATATACATACACTGTGTCAATGCCAAGGGGCACATTTGAAACATTCTTCTGAGATTTGTGACGCGAGCGAAAAAGCTTCCTTTGTGATTAAGCGCTATTCAAGGAATGACTAGACTAATAAAGGGTTAAAAAGTGGGTCTGCAGTAAGGCTCATTACTCCTCCTCTCCCTCATCCAGCACATCACATCCTGGTCCTCTAAACCCATCCTCCCCTTCAGTGCCCCGACCCTAACCCACCTGTAATGATCCCTCCACCCCCCTCTACCTACTAGACCACCCCCGACCCCATGCCACATGGATGTGCTTCTGCTTACAATCCTCTCTAATGTTGGGCACTGGCAGCGTTAAATAGTGTTAACTTGCCCCAGTCATCACATACCAAAACTACAGACAGAGCAGGAGGAAGTGAGTGAAGAGTGAAACGGAAGTCTGAAAATCATCTAGGAGAAACGTTTAATTTATTAATTAGCTATCCAATATTAAACCCCCCAAAAAACAAACAAGAATCCTTATAGAAAGCCATCCCAACAACTTCTTTGAGTGTGTGTATCTGTGTGTGTTAAGTCAAAAAAGCAGCATCCAACTGGACACGTCTGATTTAGAACAGAAACCCACAGCACCACAACTCTCACCCTCACTAGAAAACTACATCTCTCTGATTCAAAAAGAAACAGTGAAACTCACAATCAAAGCAGAAATAATCCCGCAGAAGAACAAAATCAAATACAGGTAAAATTCCAAGTTAAAATAAAACCACTTTAAATATATATCATTTTGCACTGGTGAAAATCACTTAACTGCACACTGCTAAAATTTACTGAGCTTTCTTAAAAAAACACCTCAAACTGAAAATGATACAAACAGAAACAAGACCAACATGGTCCCGTTAATTAAACCAAATTGTTGTTTTGCAACATGACTCAATACATCTACTGACATACTCTTTAAATAATTTATTTTTTCCCCCCTCAAGCTTGCAACAGCAAAAAGATAAATAATAATTATAATAACAGCAATAATATTGGTAATGTTAACGCCAATAGCCAACAAATGATGTGGTCCTTCCCAAGGGGGAGGGGGGAGAGAGAGAGGAGAGAGAGTCTGGGAGAGGGGACGTGGGGATAGCACCCTCTACCATGGTCCATGGTTTCACTTTTATTGGTAAAACAGCATTAAAGCAGATAGCTCATCTAAAAACTGGTTGAGGCAGAACTCATTTTAAAACAGAATCCAATGTGGGTGAATGGAAGATCATTTACTCTTAGGGGCCTCATAGCCTCTTGGCTCTGCTAATGCTAACCACCCCTGCCTCTCATCTCCCCAAAACATCTTGGTTCCCCCAGCGATGAGGTCAGAGTTCTTATTAGTGACTGATCAACAAACCCAGCTTATTGTCTGAAAATGCCATTAAAGCTATGGACAAGGGCTTACATTGGTAGGATGAAGCCAAATGTGAGAAATGGAAAGAGAGATATGAAAGGGAAAGAGAAGACAAACTGAAAAAGAGAGGGAAAGAGCAAGCTCTGTGTGAGCCACATAGTTGTTGACAAACTCCTTAGGACCAAGGCTGAGAGCGATGTGTTTATGCGACAAGAGTGCTTCCTTTCTGCCCGTTTCAGTTTGTTGGAATTTCGACGAATATCATTTTCCTTGATGTTGTTGTTCTCCAAATGTTTTATTTCTTCTTGCCAAAGAAGCTGAACCTCTTTTCGCGGTCCTTCTCTTTGCCCTCCTTGTTGCGCATGGTGACCCCTGCAGCCTCTGCTGAGCTGGGGGAGATGGGGGGCATGGTCATGGCTCGGCTCAGGGCCCTGGGGCCTCCAGGGGAGCGGTCTCCTGACCCTGCTGGGATGGAGCTATGAATGGAGCGGATCCACAAGGCCATCTCCGGCTGGGACAGACAACACAGGGTTAGTCCTCACTAGGGGGAAAACACCAGAGGAGCATCAGAATCTGGTTTGGTTTGAAATGTGACACTCACCTCATCTTTAGCTTGGAACAGGAACTCCTTACCGTCCCCTAGCCTGCACACACAACATTGAAGAGAAAAGTTGGGTCAGTATAGATGCACATCACAATCCCTTGATATTTAGTTTAGTTTACAAGACTATTCTCTATTCAAACCGTCATGTTTCCTCTCCCTCTCCTCTCACCGTAGCTTGAAGACGTGTTTCCTCTTCTTGTAGTCGTGTGCCACCTCACATACAGCCTCTCCCAGGCTGATGGGGACCTCTCCGTGGTAGGGGATCCCGTTGGAGGCGCTCTTCTGGTCCTTGTAGAAGCCAAGGCTGCCCTTACGCAGAACGCAGTACACATTCTGCCAGGACCTATGGGAAGAGAGAGAGAAGCTGTTGGCGGAAGGCACGCAGGCATGCGCCTGAATAGGTTAGAGACATCAAAGAGTTCATGGCGACACACAAAATACTATTTTCTTAATCAATAGAATACACATTCCAAAAATCCTACATCTATTTAACTTCTTATGTTGATATTGCCTTTGCTTATATTAATCCTATCCTTCAACAGATGAGTCTATATAAACTAGGGCTCACCATTTACCCTTCAGGGTACTCCCACTCTCACTCCAAGATGCCCCTCCATGCCCCCTGCCCCACTGCCGTCCCGATGTCTCACCTGCTAGCTGCCTTCTTGGCATGCGACTCCATCTCCTGCTTGCGGTAGAGCATGCCCTCCATGGCGTCTGTGCCGGTGTCATCTCCCTTGCTGTGTAGCGTGGCAGACGGGTCCAGTCGTGAAGACGCCAGCCCGCTGTCTCTCCCCGGACCATTCACAGAGTCAGACTCAGAACCCTGTCATCCAAGACACATGGCAGCCAGGACACATGAACACAACGATTCTAATTATTATTTTTTAACCTTTATTTAACTAGGCAAGTCAGTTAAGCACAAATTCTTATTTACAATGACGGCCTACACCGGCAACACGGACGACACTGGGCCAATTGTGCGCTGCCCTATGGGACTCCCAATCACGGCCGGTTGTGATACAGCCTGGAATCGAACCAGGGGGTCTGTAGTGACGCCTCAAGCACTGAGATGCAGTGACTTAGACCGCTGCGGTCTAATACGGCGTAATACCAGTCATTGACTGTCTGTCTGAACTTGACAAAATGATCAACGCTTTAGAGACAACTGCTAAATGGCCATATCCATATGCATTATATGGTAGCTTTGAACAGGATGTAGAAAACACATACAGGACTACACAGAGACAATCTAACAGACGACAGACACATGGAGAACAGCTCCAACCCCACAGATGGAGGGTCAACCCACATCCTTACTGGAACATGACAAATGCAGCAGAAAGCGTTCTCATAATGTTGCTATGATACATGCTTGCTTTGTGCTCAAACGTTTATAGAGGGGGTGTGGCATTGTTTTCTTTGTTTCCTGGCAAAACAACAAATTCAATTTGAAAGGAAATCAACATTTCCTCTCGTCCAAAACCCTTTTCCTACTAACACCCAAAAACAAAAACAAAACAACCCCACCAAGCTAGGCACACCCCACCCAGGGACCTGCTATCTAGGGACAACAATCATCACATCATACTAACAAACGGCTTAGAACTGAAACTACTGGTCCTCTTACAAACACTCATGTCCTGGTCATTTTGAAGATGGGTACAAATGGAACAGCACCCAGAAAGGCTTGAAAGCCTATGATGCTTCTGTAGACACCAAATTATATCATGAATCTGTGTGAGACATGAATGCCTCAACAGCAATGGGACTGTGTGTGTTCTCAAAATCAAATAAAGCAATGGCACAGCAGTGCCAGAGGACGATGGCGCCCTCTAGTAGGTCATGCGGAGGTACTGCAGTAGCGCAGGAGCTGAGCGCAGGCAGTGATGGGGGGTGGGATGAGGAAGCTAGGCTAGGATAGGTACTCACACGCAGCGGATGCTTTGGCTTAGACACAGGTTTAGAGACAGGTTCACGTTTCTCTTTCTTTTCCACTGACACTGATGATACTGATAATGACTGCAGGTAAAGACGCAACAAGTAATTGTTAAGAAGTCCTTGTGCTAGGAGATAGCATGCTACCCTATGCTAATGTTTTTGAAACAGACCCTGACACACACACGACAAAGGGACACACATATATATCATAAACGGGAAAACTGTGACTCACGTCTAACATGTACTTACAGGTTTGGCTTCAGTTGTGTCAAATACATTACATTCTCACACATAGAACATTTAAAATCTTTCATTCAAATCTCCTCAAACATATATGGACAGGACAACATGAAGAGGAACATGACATAAAACATGAAAAAACATTTTATACTGAGGTGAAAATCTGGAAATATTTCAGTCAGTAGTTTAATTTGAGTGTATTAAACAGGAGGTAAGAACCTTTGATTAGATACAGTATGACTCAATATAGATAAGCTCTCTCTCAATGTTCCCTCTCACCTGTGAGGTGTCTTGGTCGCTGTGGACTCCATTCACTGATACTGACTGGTTCAGTGTGGTCTGGTCTAGGCTGGTCCTGGGTTACACAGAAGGGGGAATGAGCTTGAGAACGACATTGAGGGGGGGGGGGGGGGGGGGGCATCAAATATCTCTGGTTACTAGGATTCCCTCCAGTCTTACCTGGCATCATGTGTTTCGGCCTCAGACGGGGCCACCTCTTCTGTCAGGGGTGGTGTGGGGGTTCGTCTCGTCCTCTCCTCCTCCTCCCTCCTCTGGATCTCCTCCTCCTCCCTCCTCCTCTGGATCTCCTGCTCCTCCAGCTGAAATGGAAGCCCAGGTTAGTGGCTGTTTGGAGGAGACATTACCCTACCTTCCTAACAATGCCAAGTCCATGCATTCTCCCAACTCCTGCCAAGGTCCAACCCACCACCTTCCCATCTGCCCCCCCCCCCCCCCTCACCGTGGTGAGTTTCTCCAGCAGGGTGAAGCGTTCCTCCCAGCCGACGGCCAGCTTCTCCAAGGCCTCGTGGCGTTTGATCAGGCTCTCCACCTCGTCCACGTTTAGAGCCCAGCTCTGCCCCCCGCACCAGGGGCTCCTGGCCTGCCAGCCATGTCTCTGCCACGTACGCATCCCGGCCAAACTGCAGCACCTCCAAAACTGAGACAGAGAACAGAATGAGTAACCATGAAAAACACAAAACACAGCTGAAACACATACCAAACACCCTAACTAACACTCGCGTGCTAAAACATACTAACACAAACAAATGAACAAAAAACAACACACCCTGAAGTCCACATACCTATCTGGAGGTGGTCCATCTTGTCCTGCCACTTGTTGTTGATCTCGTCCCTCTTGCCCTGCAGCTGGTCCAGTTTCTCCCGGATCTATGGGATAGTCAACAGGCACGTCAATAACATCACATGAACAAGCTGCATAAGCCACAATACACACTCGGGGACAATGCCCACCGGCGACGATGAGACAGCCTACAGGGAGGTCGTCAGTGACCTGGCAGTGTGGGGCCGGAACAACAACCTCTCCCTCAATGTCAGTAAGACTAAGAACTTAAAATGGTCCACACACCCGCCCATGAAGCAGGCGCGACAACATCAGGAGGTTGAACAGGTTTGGCATGGGCCCTCAAATCCTCAAAAAGATCTACAGCTGTACCATTGAGAGCATTTTGACTGGTTGCATTACTGCTTGGTATGGCAACAGCACCGCCCTGGATCGCATGGCGCTACAGAGGGTGGTGCAGACAGCCCAGTACATCACTGGGGCCGAGCTCCCTGCCATCCAGGACCTCTATATCAGACGGTGTGAAAAGGCCCAGAAAATCGTTAAAGACTCCAACCACCCAAGCCATAGACTGTTCTCTCTGCTAACTCTTTTTACTCACCACATACGCTGCTGCTACGGTTTATTATCTATCCTGTTTCCTAGTCACTTTATCCCTACCTATATGTACATATCTACCTCCATTACCTCGTACCCCTGCACATCGACTCGGTACTGGTACCCTGTGTATATAACCATGTTATCGTTACTCATTGTGTATTTATCATGTTATTATTTTTCTATATTTTTCTTTCTGCATTGTTGGGAAGGGTCCGTAAGTAAGCATTTCACCGTTAGTCTACACCTGTTGTTTACGTAGCATGTGACAAAATTTGATTTGCATAAACACACCTTTTACATGAGCTTTTGTCCTAATCCCTTGACTAAATCCAATTGTGTGTGTGTGATTGATTGGAGTGTGTGTACAGTATGTGATGTAACGGTGACATGGCCCATACCTCATCAGCTGCATAGTGGTTGTTGTTGATGAGAGAGTGTCCCATCTCATTGCAGGTGGTGAAGCTGTCTGCCCGGGTCTCGATCTCGGACTTGATGTCCTGATGGTTGGCTATGACCAGCCCTGCAGAGGACACGTCCCTGACAGAGAGAGAGAGGATGGGGAGGGTGGGGGGGAAGACAGGGTTAAACCTTAATAAAACCAACATTGGAGAACAATGGCATAACAGAGATATGGTCAGGTCTCACCTCGGGCTGTCGTGGGCGTCGATCTGCAGGTTGACCCCGTCCATCCACAGCATGAGGTCACGCACCATGTTGACGAAGCGGAACTTCTCCACGGTGTCCAGCAGGAGGTGTCGGCGAGCCTGGCTGGCCCCCAGCAAACCCTCCCAGGCCTCAGTGACAGAGTGCTCGCTCCGGTGGATCTCCTCAGCCTTCTCCCCAGCGTAGGCCTTCTGCAGCCGCGCTGCGTCATCCTGCACCTGGTTCACCTGGGGGTGGAGGGGGCAGACGGGTCAGAACGCATCCTGAAAACCATTAACTTGCCACCTTATGTGCTCTGACACATTTCTGATACCCCCAGTATGAGTCTGAAAAGCAGCCCTTACAATGCATTAATTCTAATATTCTACTTTGGGATGGTGTGCAAAAGTGCGTATAATAACATTATTTCTCCCACTGGTGTTTCTGTAAGTATCCCTGTACTCTCGTGGTATGGTGCCAAGTTAATCCAATTTAATGCAATATCTTTATTGTCCCAAAGGGGAATTCATTGTGCAGCCAGGAGTTTAAAAGAGCAGCAGCATACCTGTCCGCTAAGGGCCTGGATGTCGTGCTCGTAAGCGGTGTGCTGTCGGTGGAGGTGCTGGACGGTGTTGAGGTCACGGCCCAGGTCAGATGGCAGCGCCTCCTTCTTCTCCCGGACCCTCCCCAGAGCCTCGCGGGCGTCCTGGTGGAAGCGGTGCAGCTCGTAGGAGGCGGCCAGCATCTGGGTGCGTGTGTCGATCAGCTCCAGCAGGTCGGCCCACGCCTCGTTCAGACCGTCCTTCCACTCCGCCACGCTGGCGTTCTCAGGGTGACCCGACTCGATGAGGTCATCGGCCAGACCGTTAACGCCGTCCACGCGCTCCTGGCCGATGTTGCTGGTGTCCCGAGCAAACTCACGGAACTTGTCCCGCAGCATCTGAGAGGAGAGAGGATTCATTTATGGATAACAATCACAGGTTATTATCATACTTCCTGAAGGTAGCTGACAGAAGAAAACAATTGTTGGTGAGCAATTAGTGCCTGTGTATGTGTTTGAATGTATGAGTAAGTAAAAGGAAGGCCACTCACGGTGACATGTTCGTAGTCCTGTCCCAGCTCATGGGATCCGGCCACCACCTCCCTCTCAGCGATCCACTGCTCCAGGTCGTCCACCTCTCTCTTCAGCTGGGTCAGCCTCAGCCTCTCCTGCAGACGCCCACGACGCTCCTCAGCCAGGTCCTTCAGCCCTGCATACAGCTTGTCCACCTGGGCTTGCCGTAGGTTAATACGCTCGCTAATAGTGGGGAATGAGAGAGAGAGAGTCAGGCCAGTTGTAATGACAGAGAGACATTGTGACTGTAGTTAAATAATATTGTGAAGTGGCATTAGTTTGATGTATTTAGCTATTAACTGCCCCCCACCCCCACGTTAACCCCTGTGCCCTTCACCTCTCGGGGTGTTCACTGGTCATCATGGTACGGCTGCTGTTGGCCAGCTGGTGGATGGTCTGGGCGTAGTCCTCCAGGGCCTGTTCTAGCGTCTGGTGCTTCTTCACCATCACCAGAGCACTCTGCTCATCCTGGGTCACACACGTTACAGAGATGGAGTTAGCACCATTAAGCCAGAATGTGTGCAGAATGGACATCTTTAGCATCATCATTAACACAGATAGCGCTTAACTTCCGCCTGTCTCTCCTCCCACCTTGGCCTTCTCCTCTGACATCATGTGTAGCTCCTGCTCTCCCATCCAGGCCTCGGCCTCAGCAGCGTCAGTGTAGAACTGCTGGGCGCGGTTAGCCTCCACCAGCCGGGCATGGCGCTCGTCTGTCTCAGCGATGAGCTGGGCCCAGGAGTCCCGGAGCTCCACCAGACGGCGCTCCAGAGCAGACTGCCTCTCCCCGTCCACCTCCTCCTGCCCTGGGGACATCCCCCGGCGGTGGGTCTGGATGTCATCAATACGGGGCTGGTGGCCCTGGATCTCCTTCTGCAAAGTCTGGGAGACAAAACAAAGGTTTAGCCAAATGCAACATCTCCTTTCCAGGGTTCCATTATTTTCCCTCCTACTGTCCAGACTCTTCCCTAAATTCCTCCCTCATCTGTGTACCTGGTTTTTCTTGATGAGCAGCTGCACACTGGGCAGGTCCTTCCCATGGTCTGTAGATGTGGCCAGGGGCATCCTCTCCTTCACCCATAGCTAATTGACAGACAGACCGGAGGAAAAAGTGCATTAAAAGACGATGACGATTCTGTACAACATCTCTGTATTTAGAGTCAGGTGGTCCCACTCACAATCTCATCCTCCAGGTCTCTGTTGAACTGGTGGGCCTCCTTGGAGGCCAGCAGTTGCTGCCTCCTCTGGTTGAGGGGGTCCTGGAGCTGGGAGAAGCTGTCAGTGACACGTCTCTGCTGGCTGTCCACCTCCACCACAGCCACACCAGCATCCTCCTGGGACAGCACCAGGGCCTGGGACTGCAGCGACTGCACCTCCTTCTCACGCACCTCCATCTGGTGCTCCAGCATCTACACAGGGACGAGGAGGTAAGCATGTGCTCTTTTATTTTGATAGGGACACTTCTCCTTTCAAATGGTCACAAAGGAGTATGACAACTGAGAACTTGGTGATAAAAATGGTGCTTGGCTTAGACAGTATATTGTCACTCACCTGGTGCTTCTTGAGCAGGATGTTGACGGAGGTCAGGTCCTTGCCGAAGTCGTCGCTCTGCAGCTGTCCTGACAGGTTCTTCAGCCACACGTCCAGGGCAGAGCAGCTCTGGGTGAAGAGCTCCGCCCTGTTGGCATCGAAGAGGCACTGAGCCTTGGTGCGAGTCGTGTTCTCTAGCTCTTCCCATTGGCTCTGCAGGCCCTCCAGAGTTTGCTGGACTACAGGCTGCAGCTCCGGCTTCTCTGTCACTAGGGCCAGGCCCTCCTAACAGGGGCATGGGGAAAGGGGTCAGAATACTGGCACCCACATCTTTCTGACTTCTTTTTCCACTTATTCTTTTCATAGAATAATCGTTTTATGATCATACCTTATCAATCTTATCCAGCCAGTCTTTGTTGGAGGCCAGCTCAGCCATGAAGGCCTGGTGTTTCTGCCACTTGCTGTGGAGGTTCCTGGCCTCGTCGTACGACATGTCCTGAGCTGTCAGCATCTTCTCATTGATCCACAGAGTCAGCTGCAGAGAGAGAGAGGAGAATGATTTTACTCAATGCATGTGCCTCAGGTGAATTCCTTTGAATACTGATTTGTTTTCTTCTTCTGACTACAAGACAAACAGTGAATCACACCACCATTATTATAGAACAAGTTAGTTGGCGATTCGTACCTCCTGTCCGTCCTGCAGGAAGTGCTGAAGTTCACGGTTGTCCTTCAGTTTAGACAGGAGTTCATTTGCATCTTCCCTATTCTTCTGATGTCTCTCCTGGATGGAGTCGGCCTTCTCCTGGATCTTGTCAGAGTTGGCATTAAGGTCTTTGACCAGGCGGCGTCCGGCCTCCACCACGCCTGTGATCTTCTCCTCGCTGGCCTCCATGGTGGTCAGGAAGTCCTCGTGCTTCTTGATGGCCTCCTCTGCCCCCTGCAGGCTGGAGGGCATCTCAGTGTGGGACAGCACATACTCCTACAGAGGGAGAGAGGGAGAGAGAACTATTAGTAACATCATCAAGATAGACAATAGATGTGTTTGATTCTTCTTCACTGGTGTCCTGGTCCTCACCTGGCTGTTGAGGAAGCCCTCAGCCTGCTTGACGTCCCTCAGGAAGGTCTGGAAGTCGAAGGCTTGGGCCAGTAGGCTGTGGCGGTTCTCCCACATCCGGCGCAGCTCGTGCCAGCCGGTGTCCAGCGCCTGCAGCCTCTGGGCCAGGAACATGTACTGGGCGTCCGTCTGGCCCTGGGTCACCTCATCGCCTACTGCCCGCATCTTCTCATAGTCCTCCTTATAGTTGTCCACCTCGTTCTTGATGCTCTCGTGCTGGGTGAGCAGGCACTCAGCCTCTGGCAGTGAGGTGGGGATGTCCTCGGAGGCCACGGCAGTCTGGGTGCGGGACAGCCAGGACTGGAAGTCATCCAGGTCCCTGAGGAAGCCCTGCAGCTTGCTGGCCTCGCCCAGAGACTCCTCACGCCGCTTCATGGTGGCGTTGAGCTCCTGCCACACCTCCTGGATCTCCCCCAGGTGGGCAAGGATCTCCTCTGCCTGGTCCGGGTGCTCCTCAGCCAGCTTCTCTGCCTCCTTCCTCAGGTCGTCCAACTTACCCTGAAAAGATATAGAAAATAAACAATGGTGTCAGCAACATCATATGGCATAAAATGATACAAAGTATTGATGTGAACCAATTAATGACTCAACTGATCATCCCTATAAAACATTATCTGATGCTGTGGTTTACCTTTGTCCACCTCCATAACCTTTGACCCGTCTCCCTGCCCCTGCCGTACCTGAATGGCCTCCAGGTCTCTCTCCATGCCGGTGAGTTTGCGCTGCAGGGCCATGACACCAGCCAGGTCGTTGCCCAGGCTCTCGGTGGACTCTATCACCTTGGTCTTCTCTCTCATCCAGGTCTGGATCTCGTTACACTCCAGGTGGTAGTTCTGGATGTTGAGGGCCGACTCCAGGGCATGTTTCCTCTGGTCCGCCAGACGCTGGAACTCCTTCCACCTGAGGACCAGAGCAATGGGAAGTCTCAATTACCTGTTCCCAGTGCTCACTTCATACAGTGTATTGGCTATGTATCAGAGGGTTTTTCATGCGAGTGTATCAGACCTGGGTTCAAATATCTCAAAGTAAGTATTCAGATAGTAGTTGAACATTTTAATGTATTTGAAAATACTCAAATACACTGACTCAAACACACACCAATGCATTTCACCCAGGTATTTGAAAATTCTCTAAAATACAATTTGGTAGACTATTTGGTTCTTACAAATAACCATTCAAATACTCAAATAAAAGTACTTGTTTTGGGCTGTGTATTTGAAAATACTCAAATTATATTAAATATCAGATACTCAAATACACAGTGTATTTGCATGTCTGAGAGGCATGATGTTGAGTACTACTAACCTGTTATTGAGCTGGTCTTGTGTCTGGTGGATCTGCTCTTTGCTGCGGTTGTCTGATCCCAGCAGCTGCTGGGCCACCTGGTTGACATCAGCGATACGAGTCCCCAGGTTGTTCATCTCAGGCTCTAGGGTCTCGAACCTGCAGCCACACACAGATGTACATCAAACACTCTGTCTCATATTCCCACTCATATTTCCATCGCTTTGTCTCTACAATGGAGATTAGAAGGGAAATATTATCATAGGAAGAGCTTCTATCACTCAAACGCTGTTCTGACATTCCACAAAAAAACCGACCTGATTTTACATCTGTACTGCAAAAAGGAGAGAGAGATTCAGTTTGATATCCACTCCACTTAACGAAGCACAATGATCAGAGTACAAAGATCAATATGAATAATTAAAAGGCTATTTAAAATCAGAGCACCGCTTTCTTCCTATCCTACCATGCAAAACACGCCTCCCATATTCAGCTCACCTCTGCTGCACCACCTCCAGGTCTTCTAGTTTGGTGGGGATCTGCATGCCGTCCAGCCACTGTTCCTTCTCCCCCACCCACAGCTGGCAGGCGCCCGCCTCGCTGTACATGCGGTAGAGGGCCAGCGCCCCCTCCAGGGCCTGTCGCCGTGACGCGGACAGAGACTCCAGCTCCTGGTAACGCTGTTGTATGGCAGGCAGACGACCCTCTACCTACACACAGCCGCAACCACTCAGTTAGAAGACGCTCCTCCGAGCAGAGTCAATAACAAGGCAAGGAATACAAAACCGGAGCGATAAATAGAATATGTCTCACTTAAATGGGAGACATTGAGAGTCTATGTAATATGTATGGCCAGTGTTTGTTTGTGTGAGAGTGAGAGAGAGAGCAATAGAGGGAGAAACAGCATGGTGCACTAGCCTAGTGTAGTGAGTGTTGTTATGCTGTTCCTGGGGTAACTGACCTGAGGGGAGTTTGCATGGACCAGGGGCAGGCCGAGGGCCTGCTCGTGCAGGGAGTCGATGAGGGTGCGGTGGCTCTGGATCTCCTCCTCCACCTCCCTCTGCTTGCGGGCCAAGGTCTGTGTGGAGAACTCGTCGTGGCCCACCTCCTGGCTGGATACCTGGCGCAGCGTCTCCAGGATCCAGGCCTCCATGTCATTGGCGTCCGTCTGGAACTGGTGCAAGGCCACCGCCTCCTTCAGCTGCTGCTCCCTCAGCTGGGACGTCTGGGGATGGAGGGGGAGAGAAGGAATCAGTATATAAACAGGAGGAACAACTTCTGAAATTGATCAATCCATTTTTTCTCTCCAGACTCCTTTCCCATTCCTGCTCACCTCCTCCAGGTGTGCCCACTGAGCGCGGACGTCCCTGATCCTCTCAGTGCACTCTGGGGCTCCAAAGTGTCCCTCCTCCACCAGGGTCTGTCCGGCGGCGATGCTGTGGCCCAGAGGGCCGTAGCGGGCTGCCATCTCGTCCCTGAAGGCCTCGTGCTTACTGAGGAGGTGCAGGGCGGAGGTGAGGTCGCGGCCACAGTCTCCTCCAGACAGGATCTGCTCCTGCTCTCTGATCCAGGCCGCCTCCTCTCCCAGCTCCCACAGGAACTGCCAGAGGCGCCGTGAATCCTCGAGGCGCACCCTCCGCTCCCCAGCCAGCTGGCCCAGCTCCTCATAGGCCCGGCCCAGCTGAGACACCTTCTCTCCCACCAGCGCCGGCTCACACGGTTTGTAGACTGAGAGAGATAAGGAGAATTAGCTAAATGGTTATCAGTGAAGAGGCATCCAAATAAATTAATACATTCCGTCCTACTCATAAGTTATGTGATGCATGAAAGCTGCATATAGTCGTTGAATGTAATCGTTACCATAATCATACTTACACAGTAACTAACTGTCAAGTGTATATTAGTGAGTGTGCGCAGGTCTGTTCTCACCCTGTTCGTCGGAGCTGAAGCGCTGAGCGGCTCCCTGTACCCCGCGGACACCCTCTGCCTGGGCTGAGATGTCTGCCTCCACCAGGTTGTGAGTCTGCAGCAGGTCCTCCACATCGTGCAGGTGCTTCCCACTGTCCTGGGACTGCAGACGACCCTGAGAGAGCACAGAGCAGGAAGAGGTTAGAAACACATTCATTCACCATGTCTGGATTGCAAGTAGTTCATTCATGCCGCTAATGAGATGCAAATGAGATGCTAATGGTAGGGAGCATTAGTAAAATACATAGTTGCAGCAGTCACTAAGAGAGATAGATTAAGTCAAGGCGTCAATATCGTAAATGAGGGGCCAGCTTTTGTGCTGACTGATAAGTGAGACTTTATCTATCTTTGGTATTGATGAGGTAAGGCACTCTGAATCACAATAACATCTCTCTGAAGCGCAATGACTGGAAGTCCATGGGTATCTGCTAGAATGCTAGTAGATACCCATAGACTTCCAGTCACTGCGCTAACGCTTGGCTAGTTAGCATTGGCTAGGGAAAATACCTCTAACTTCCTTCATACTGGACACAGAGACACACAAATGGTATCCACGGTATCCAAAGTTCATCTGACTCTGGGGGAGTAGATGAAGGGCCTCATTGCCAAAATTCCGAAGTATCCCCTTTAAGGTAGGCAGGGTAAAGGGAATCAGCTGAGGCCAAGAGCTAAGAACACACTGTCAGACTGTATTCTGCCAGACTCTCCCAGTCAGGACTACCTCAGTCAACCTCTGTAAACCCATTACACCCAGGAGTAGTAGCCATTTTGAAAGGAGTCATTTGAGTTTGGACTGGCATGCAGGGTTGATAGTGTGAAATGTACAGGATTACAGACGGTTGACCATGACCAAGTGTACATATTCTACACTGGGAGAATATTGGGTTTGCAGAGTTGGCATGTGGATATGTTTCAGTACCTTCATGTCTCCCATCCAGTCCATGATGTATCTCATCTCCTGCAGCAGTCTCTGCAGGTCTCGGTGTGCGTTGAGTCTCTCCCTGCGAGCGGCTAACAGCTCCTTCAGGTACTCCCAAAGCCGCAGCACGTTGTCCCTCCTCGCCAGCACACGGCGCACGTCATGATAGTTCTCCGCCTCCAGCTCCCTGGCTACCGCCTCCACGGCCGCCACACGCTCCCCGTACGCCCCGATGTCTGTCTCGATGGCCTCGTGTTTACGAGTCGCAGCGTCCACCGCTCCCAGGTCCACGCCAAAGTTGTCCTGAGGGACAAGAGGACAGTTTGAGGTCAAAAGAAAAAGGACAACAATGTGTGCATTGGTCATGAAATGATCTGTGATAGAAAGGGTCAGCGTGTTCAAATGCATACAATGGTAGCCTATTAAATAACATCATGACAGCAGCAATTATGACAGTGATAAGCTACTGAATAAATCATGGTTGTATCTGTGTTCATTTAGATAATCCCTCCCCCCTGCATTACTGAGATAATTATAATGGCTTGTCTGCAGGACAGCCTGTCCACTCCATCAAAATAAAGTCATCACAACCATCACTTATGATTACTGTCATCTCTGGGCTGTGGACAACTGGGAGACAGACAATATAACTGCCATCCTTCCTCGCCTGTCTTCCCATTTTGAATATATTACCAGTTCAAGGGCAGGGGTGTGAATTGGTATGTGTTTGTGTTACCTGAGAGACGAGCCGCTGGTTCTCGCTCAGCCAGGTCTCCCTCATGGCGGCCTTGCGGTCGAAACGAGCGGCGAGCATCTCCAGCTTCTCCTGGCGAATCAGCTCGTTCCTCAGTGCCAGCTCCCGCTCATGCTCCGCCTTCTCCAGGCGTTCCCACGCCTGCAGAGCCAATCACAACACAGCAAGTCAGAGCGGTCCCTTAAACCAGGGGTGTTATTCATGATCCTATAGGCCTGTAGGGTCAACTGGTGTTTATTAAAGCTCTACTCTAGTCATGTATTTAAACAGGGAGTAACTGGAACACGTGATATAAGGCATCATCAGTGTCACCAGAGGGTGTGTTCACTATGAACCAAACAGAACCCCAAACGGAAGCAAATGGAATAAACGGGGAGGAACCTAACTGAATTTGTCCCGCCCCCCCGTGGGTGTACAATAGAGTGACAGTGATACCTTGTTGATGTCAGAGATGAGCTTGCCCTCCCTGGGCATGTACACCTTCTGGTTGTTGGCTCTCATCTTGCTCTGGATGGTGAACAGCAGCACCTCCAGGTTGCCTTTCTCTGTGAACCTGAGGAACACCAACACACACAGCCAGGTCAGACACCTACCTACCATGGAATATTTGCAGTTATGACTCCAACCTGCTGGAAAATGTATATCTGTTAACTTGAGATTTATGTTCTAATCTAGAACATCATTCCAGTTCTTAAATTCCCCCCAGCGGTGTATCCCTGTCTTACTTAGGGGGCTTCTCCACGGTGCGGTAGGTGTTGAAGGCCTGCAGCTGGTTCTGCACGGCGCTCAGGGAGTTGGCCAGCTGCCGGTCGTTCAGGGTCAGAATGGTCTGCTCTATCCACTGCAGCAGCTCTGACGCCAGGCTCTCATAGTTCCCAACCAGCTGGTCAGCCTCAATGGCATAGTCCAGCACCTGGGAGGGAGAGAAGGGGTAAGATGCGCTCCAGGGACAGTAACAGGCACACGCGTACACACACAAATAGCCAACAGCCGTTGTACCCCACCTTGCCAACCCTCTTGCCCTCCACAGCCAGGGCCTTCATCTTGGAGAAGTAGTGGTAGTAGGTGGCAACGTAGGTGATGATGGACTTCTCATCTGGCTGGTCAACGTTGACATCTGGAAAGAGAGACCGGGACAACTTCAACACTGAAGTTAATTTATACTTGATCATCATTTTCTCTCCACACCGGCACACACACACACACACACACACACACACACACACACACACACACAGAGACACAGAGACACCCACAGATACACACACTCAGTTGCCCACCATACACACCCATAGTCGCCCACATAAACTCCCATCTCAACCCAGTCAATTAAACTTAAAACACACGGTGCTCTTCTCTAAATCTGCCCTGATTGATGGCCCCGGAGCGGTGCTAACCCCTCACCATGTATGGACTTCCTCTGTGATGTCAGAGTGCATCATTAAGCCCTACCCCATGCCCAGCCAGACCACACGGCCCTTATTCTCGCTTAAACTTAAATTAATTCCAGTAATCCTCCCTCCCTCCCTCCCTCCACACACACCGCGTCCAGCTAGCCCAGTACAGGACAGGAGCACAGTCTTGGTGGCCACTAGCCATTTTGGGGAGGGCAGAGGGCACACACAACCCAACCCATTTCCTGTCTCAGAGCTCTGACCACACTCACCTTCTGGGTCCAGGAGTTTGGTGAGGCCCAGCTTATTCTCTGCTGTGTTGAAGGCATTCTGGAGATTGTAGTGGGCGTTGGACCGCTTCAGGCTGTCAAACTCAATCACGTCCGGTCTGGAGGGGGATGGGGACACAGGTGTTGAGTTTAATTAAAGGAATCATATATACACTTAACAAAAATAAAAACGAAACAAGTGTTGGTCCCATGTTTCATGAGCTGAAATAAAACATCTCAGAAATTTTCCATACGCACAAAAAGCTTATTTCTCTCAAATGTTGTGCACAAATTTGTTTACATCCCTGTTAGTGAGCATTTCTCCTTTGCCAAGAAGGAGTATCTCTGTCTGTAATAAAGCCCTTTTGTGGAGAAAAACTCATTCTGGCCTCCACAATCCCCCGACCTCAACCAAATTGAGATGGTTGGGATGAGTCGGACCGGAGAGTGAAGGAAAAGCAGCCAACAAGTGCTCAGCATATGTGGGAACTCCTTCAAGACTGTTGGAAAAGCATTCCAGGTGAAGCTGGTTGAGAAAATGCCAAGAGTGTGCAAAGCTGTCATGAAGGCTATTTTAATCATCTCAAACATAAAATATATTTTGATTTGTTTAACACTTTTTGGTTCCATATGTGTTATTTCATATTTTTGATGTCTTCACTATTATTCTACAATGTAGAAAATAGTAAAAATAAAGAAAAACCCTTGAATGAGTAGGTGTTCTAAAACTTTTGACCGGTACTGTGTGTGTGTATGTATACAGTTGAAGTCAGAAGTTTACATACACCTTAGCCAAATACATTTACAGTGGGGAAAAAAAGTATTTAGTCAGCCACCAATTGTGCAAGTTCTCCCACTTAAAAAGATGAGAGAGGCCTGTAATTTTCATCATAGGTACAGGTCAACTATGACAGACAAATTGAGAAAAAAAAATCCATAAAATCACATTGTAGGATTTTTAATGAATTTATTTGCAAATTATGGTGGAAAATAAGTATTTGGTCAATAACAAAAGTTTCTCAATATTTTGTTATATAACCTTTGTTGGCAATGACACAGGTCAAACGTTTTCTGTAAGTCTTCACAAGGTTTTCACACACTGTTGCTGGTATTTTGGCCCATTCCTCCATGCAGATCTCCTCTAGAGCAGTGATGTTTTGGGGCTGTCGCTGGGCAACACTGACTTTCAACTCCCTCCAAAGATTTTCTATGGGGTTGAGATCTGGAGACTGGCTAGGCCACTCCAGGACCTTGAAATGCTTCTTACGAAGCTACTCCTTCATTGCCCGGGCGGTGTGTTTGGGATCATTGTCATACTGAAAGACCCAGCCACGTTTCATCTTCAATGCCCTTGCTGATGGAAGGAGGTTTTCACTCAAAATCTCACGATACATGGCCCCATTCATTATTTCCTTTACACGGATCAGTCGTCCTGGTCCCTTTGCAGAAAAACAGCCCCAAAGCATGATGTTTCCACCCCCATGCTTCACAGTAGGTATGGTGTTCTTTGGATGCAACTCAGCATTCTTTGTCCTCCAAACACGACGAGTTGAGTTTTTACAGAAAACGTTCTATTTTGGTTTCATCTGACCATATGACATTCTTCCAATCCTCTTCTGGATCATCCAAATGCACTCTAGCAAACTTCAGACGGGCCTGGACATGTACTGGCTTAAGCAGGGTGACACGTCTTGCACTGCAGGATTTGAGTCCCTGGCGGCGTAGTGTGTTACTGATGGTAGGCTTTGTTACTTTGGTCCCAGCTCTCTGCAGGTCATTTACTAGGTCCCCCCCGTGTGGTTCTGGGATTTTTGCTCAGCGTTCTTGTGATCATTTTGACCCCACGGGGTGAGATCTTGCGTGGAGCCCCAGATCGAGGGAGATTATCAGTGGTCTTGTATGTCTTCCATTTCCTAATAATTGCTCCCACAGTTGATTTCTTCAAACCAAGCTGCTTACCTATTGCAGATTCAGTCTTCCCAGCCTGGTGCAGGTCTACAATTTTGTATCTGGTGTCCTTTGACAGCTCTTTGGTCTTGGCCATAGTGGAGTTTGGAGTGTGACTGTTTGAGGTTGTGGACAGGTGTCTTTTATACTGATAACAAGTTCAAACAGGTGCCATTAATACAGGTAACGAGTGGAGGACAGAGGAGCCTCTTAAAGAAGAAGTTACAGGTCTGTGAGAGCCAGAAATCTTGCTTGTTTGTAGGTGACCAAATACTTATTTTCCACCATAATTTGCAAATAAATTCATTAAAAATCCTACAATGTGATTTTATGGATTTTTTTTTCTCAATTTGTCTGTCATAGTTGACCTGTACCTATGATGAAAATTACAGGCCTCTCTCATCTTTTTAAGTGGGAGAACTTGCACAATTGGTGGCTGACTAAATACTTTTTTTCCCCACTGTAAACTCAGTTTTTCACAATTCCTGACATTTAATCCTAGTAAAAATTCCCTGACTTAGGTCAGTTAGGATCACCACTTCATTTTAAGAATGTGAAATGTCATAATAATAGTAGAGATAATTATTTCTTTCAGCTTTTATTTCTTTCATCACATCCCCAGTGGGTCAGAAGTTTACATACACTCAATTAGTATTTGGTAGGATTGCCTTTAAATTGTTTAACTTGGGTCAAACGTTTTGAGTAGCCTTCCACAAGCTTCCCACAATAAGTTGGGTGAATTTTGGCCCATTCCTCCTGACAGAGCTGGTGTAACTGAGTCAGGTTTGTAGGCCTCCTTGCTCGCACACGCTTTTTCAGTTCTGCCCACAAATGTTCTATAGGATTGAGGTCAGGGCTTTGTGATGGCCACTCCAATACCTTGACTTTGTTGTCCTTGAGCCATTTTGCCACAACTTTGGAAGAATGCTTGGGGTCATTGTCCATTTGGAAGACCCATTTGCGACAAAGCTTTAACTTCCTGACTGATGTCTTCAGATGTTGCTTCAAAATATCCACATAATTTTCCTTCCTCATGATGCCATCTATTTTGTGAAGTGCACCAGTCCCTCCTACAGCAAAGCACTCCAACAGCATGATGCTGCCACCCCCGTGCTTCACGGTTGGGATGGTGTTCTTCGGCTTGCAAGCTCCCCCCTTTTTCCTCCAAACATAACGATGGTCATTATGGCCAAACAGTTCTATTTTCAGACCAGAAGACATTAGTCCAAAAGTATGATATTTGTCCCCATGTGCAGTTGCAAACTGTAGTCTGGCTTTTTTATGGCGGTTTTGGAGCAGTGGCTTCTTCCTTGCTGAGCGGCCTTTCAGGTTATGTCGATATAGGACTCGTTTTACTGTGGATATAGATACTTTTGTACCTGTTTCCTCCAGCATTTTCACAAGGTCCTTTGCTGTTGTTCTGGGATTGATTTGCACTTTTTGCACCTAAGTCTCCTTCCTGAGCGGTATGACGGCTGCATGGTCCCATGGTGTTTATACTCGCATACTATTGTTTGTACAGATGAACGTGGCACCTTCAGGCGTTTGGAAATTACTCCCAAGGATGAACCAGACTTGTGGAGGTCTACAAATTTTTTTTCTGAGGTCTTGGCTGATTTATTTTGATTTTCCCATGATGTCAAGCAAAGAGGCACTGAGTATGAAGGTAGGCCTTGAAATACATCCACAGCTACACCTCCAATTGACTCAAATGATGTCAATTAGCCTATCAGAAGCTTCTAAAGCCATGACATCATTTTCTGGAATTTTCAAAGCTGTTTAAAGGCACAGTCAACTTAGTCTATGTAAACCTCTGACCCACTGGAATTGTGATACAGTGAATTATAAGTGAAATAATCTGTCTGTAAACAATTGTTGGAAAAAGTACTTGTGTCATGCACAAAGTAGATGTCCTAACTGACTTGCCAAAACTATAGTTTGTTAACAATACATTTGTGGAGTGGTTGAAAAACGAAGTGTATGTAAACTTCCGACTTCAACTGTATATATATGGTAAAGATAGCATTTCATCAGTAAGTGTGGGCCATGTCAACTTCAACATTGTTCCGTTTATTCAGAGCAATCCCATTCTAATCATCCCTTCCATTCCCTCAGCTCCACTTTGAATAGGATCAGATAAGGAAAACGGCAGTGACAGAATTTACATGATTGCCTTGTAGCTCATTCAGAGCACATTGCAATCTACTCGTACTTTGAGCCTCAGGTGAGAAATATAGAGTAGATGATGAGAATAATCCATTTGTTATAGAGTTGTTGTCATGTCAAGACCCATGGGGCGGTAGGGGAGGGAATGGCCGGCAGGGGATGTAGCTCAGTTTGTAGAGCATGGCGTTTGCAACGCCAGGGTTGTGGGTTCGATTCCCACGGGGGGTATGAAAAAAAAAAAAATATATATATATATATATATATATATATATAAAAATAAATAAAAAGTACAAATAATAATGTAATGTATGCACTAACTGTAAGTCGCTCTGGATAAGAGCGTCTGCTAAATGACTAAAAATGTAAAAAATGTTAAATGTTAAAATCAGATGCAATTGAGGCCCTTCTCCCACTTTAATGCAGTATGAGACACCAGCAGAGGGCAGCGGTGAGTCACCAGGCATGGCCTTGCATGCTAAACAAGTGGGTTTTATTTCTGTTATCTAGGTCAACTTACTCCAATTTATTTGTATCCACTTATCCAAACTGTAGAGGGTTTAGAAAAAGGGTCAAACCCAAATAGAGAACGGGGATACAGTCACCCCAGGGAGGTTGTGTGTCATAACAGGTAGCCTATTTCGCAAACGCACTGCAAGTACAACAGGCCACGGTATTGGACAGACTGAATATATCACGTCACACAGAAAGCGTGTCAGGTGATGGACAAAGTCAGCGCCTACTGTTGAAATGAGTGACTGCAGCATTTCATACAGTGTGACAGACAACATGGACAGAGGGGAAGGTCGTTGACCTGTGTTTGTGCACGATGGCGTTGAACGCCAGGCCATCTCTCCAGCTGGTGGTGAAGTTGTGAACATTGACGTTGGGGTACCTGCAAAGACAAGGTCACAGCTCATTAATCATTACCTCAACACAGTACCCAGGTTATTTTGGATGTTGACAAACCGAGAGCTTGGGACTGTAAGGTTCTATCTGCTAAAATATTATTCTGTGATAATTGGCTTTAAATCTCCGAACCCTAATTGGTTTGAATGGTGTCAGCAATTGTTATCTCCTATTCTTTTGAACTTAACATGAATTGGGATAGTTAGAGTACAATATAAGTGGACAACATTGAACAAAACAAGGCTGTGTCAATATCTACATTCTGAAATAAATGCAGATAGAACATTATAGTCCCAAACTCTCGAAACACTGGAAGCTCTTAAAATAAAATCTCTAATCATTTCACATATAATTTATATCATACATCCACATTGCTTGCACATCCTTGAAAATGTCTCTCTCCCCCCTCTCACTCTCCCCTTTCTCACCCAGCGGTCTTCATCTGGCACCAGAGAAGCAGGGCCTCTTTGGCAGACTTCTTCTCCTTGTTATCCTCAGTCTCCACACTAATGTCCTGGATCTGTTAGCAGAACAGAGTACCCTCTTAGTCAGACCCACTGCCTACTTAAAACTTCAACCAGCTCTCTCTCTCTCTGGGTAATTAAGACTTCACTGAAATCGGTCTTACATGCAGCTTTTTATTAGGTTTGATGATAAATCCCAATCTATTCAGTCTAACAAGAGAGCAGAGATTAGCACCGATTCGTTTTGAGTTTTTTGTTGTTGCAATTATGTCATTAAAAAAGGAGGAAATTATTGAACACTGAAATATCATTACAATATTTACATTCTCTGAAACCACAATCGTCCCAGAATACCATAGAACAGTGGTTTAGTTCCGTTTCTTAGGATCCCCATTAGCTCCACATAAAACATACAAATACATGAAAGTCCTGAACAGTAATAGACAAGAACATAAGATTACATTCAATAAAAAATAGTTATATAAAGGAAAGACACCAAGAGACAAAAATACAATTTACACATTCATATTCTTATTTACAGTACAGTTAAATTAAATCTTTAGAAAGAGGAGAGGCGCTGTGTTCATCCATTTTTTAAAGTTAAACTTGCTTTTTGCCTGAGTAACCTTTGGTCGCAGAGCATTCCACGATGACATGGCTCTATACATAACTGAGCAACGCATAAAATCTGTTTTTGGTTTGGGTACCGTGAAGAAACCCATAGTGGTGTGTCTGGTGGGGTATGTACAGTATGTCTGGTGGGGTATGTATGTCTGTTTGAAGTGTATGCAAATAAACTCAGCAAAAAAAGAAATGTCCCTTTTTCAGGACCCTGTCTTTCAAAGATAATTTGTAAAAAGCCAAATAACTTCTGATTTAAACGCTGATTCCTATGCTTGTTCAATGAACCATAAACAATTAATGAACATGCACCTGTGGAACGGTCGTTAAGACACTAACAGCTTACAGACGGTAGGCAATTAAGGTCACAGTTATGAAAACTTAGGACACTAAAGAGGCCTTTCTACTGATTCTGAAAAACACCAAAAGAAAGATGCCCAGGTTCCCTGCTCATCTGCGTGAACGTGCCTTAGGCATGCTGCAAGGAGGCATGAGGACTGCAGATGTGGCCAGGGCAATAAATTGCAATGTCCGTACTGTGAGACGGCTAAGACAGCGCTACAGGGAGACGGGATGGACAGCTGATCGTCCTCGCAGTGGCAGACCACGTGTAACAACAACTGCACAGGATCGGTACATCCACACATCACACCTGTGGGACAGGTACAGGATGGCAACAACAACTGCCTGAGTTACACCAGGAATGCACAATCCCTCCATAAGTGCTCAGACTGTCCGCAATAGACAGAGAGACTGGACTGAGGGCTTGTTGTAAGGCAGGTCCTCACCAGACATCACCGGCAACAACGTCGCCCATGGGCACAAACCCACCCTTCGCTGGACCAGACAGGACTGGCAAAAAGTGCTCTTCACTGACGAGTCGCGGTTTTGTCTCACCAGGGGTGATGGTCGGATTCGCGTTGATCGTCGAAGGAATGAGCGTTACACCGAGGCCTTTACTCTGGGGCGGGATCGATTTGGAGGTGGAGGGTCCGTCATGGTCTGGGGCAGTGTGTCACAGCATCATCGGACTGAGCTTGTTGTCATTGCAGGCAATCTCAACGCTGTGCGTTACAGGGAAGACATCCTCCTCCCTCATGTGGTACCCTTCCTGCAGGCTCATCCTGACATGACCCTCCAGCATGACAATGCCACCAGCCATACTGCTTGTTCTGTGTGTGATTTCCTGCAAGACAGGAATGTCAGTGTTCTGCCATGGCCAGCGAAGAGCCCGGATCGCAATCGAGTACGTCTGGGACCTGATGGATCGGAGGGTGAGGGCTAGGGCCATTCCGCCCAGAAATGTCCGGGAACTTGCAGGTGCCTTGGTGGAAGAGTGGGGTAACATCTCACAGCAAGAACTGGCAAATCTGGTGCAGTCCATGAGGAGGAGATGCACTGCAGTACTTAATGCAGCTGGTGGCCACACCAGATACTGACTGTTACCCCCCCCCCCCCCTTTGTTCAGGGACACATTATTCAATTTCTGTTAGTCACATGTCTGTGGAACTTGTTCAGTTTATGTCTCAGTTGTTGAATCTTGTTATGTTCATACAAATATGTTAAGTTTGCTGAAAATAAACTTAGTTGACAGTGAGAGGATGTTTCTTTTTTTGCTGAGTTTAGATTATACAAGTGGTTAGGCATTTTCAACACACAAATGTTTCTTAAAAAGACTAGAAAATAAGTAGTCAATTTCTTTAACCATGAAAGACTATCATGCATGTTGTTGATGTTCGTTCTGTGTGTGCAGTTAAGGGCAAGGCGTGCTGCTTTGTTTTGAGCCAGCTGAAGCTTTGCTAGGTCTTTCTTTGCTGCACCTGACCATATTACCAGACAGTAATCAAGCTTGGACAAGACCTGAACAACTAGTACAATTGTTGTGTAAAAAACACAGAACATAACAGACATACCTCTCCCTATCTTCACAATGACTTTGTCAATATGACTTGACTATGATAACTGACCATCCAATGTTACTCCTAGGAGTTCAGCTTCTTCAACTGGTTCAATGGTCACACCCTTTATGCACAACTCCAGTTGAGGTTTAGGTCTAAGAGAATGCTTTGGTTTTAGATGCATTTAAGACCAGTTTATTCTTAATTACCCATTCTAACATTGACTGTAACTCCTTGCTAAGAGTCTCAGTAAGTTCACTGGCTGTAGGTGCTGATGTGTAGAGTGTGCAATCATCAGCATACATAGTTATTTTAGCTTCTTGTAAGACAAGTGGCAAATCATTAGTAAAAATAGAGAAGAGTAAGAGTGGTAATTGCTTCTATTCCCATTAGTTTTGCCTAGGGGCAGGAACATGCTGAGACCTGATGTCCCAGAGCCAGGCTGAGTGATGAGATAACAGAGTAGGAGTAGGGGGTGAGGAATAGGACAGGACTGGGCATGGTTGGGTGACCCAGATGGGGTTGAGGAATGGGACAGGACTGGGCTTGGAGTGGGTGGGGTGACCCAGGTGGGGTTGAGGAATGGCACAGGACTGGGTAGGGTGGAGTGACCCAGGTGGAAGTGAGGAATGGGACAGGACTGGGCAGGGTAATATTCACGAGCACCCTCTACTAGGAAGGCATACAGAAAGGCATTGTACAGAACATTACAAGGAGTCACACGCTACCTGGAAGCGGAGGATGATGGTCCAGATGAGACCCAGGGTGAGGCGGTGGTTTCCATCTACGATGTCATGAGAGCCCATGTTCTCCAGGTGGACCTTCTGCTCCTTGAGGAACTGCAGGGCCTTGTCCACGTTCTCCAGGCAGTGGATACGCATACGCCCCTTGGTGGGCTTCGGCTGGAGAGAGAAGGGGGAAGTCAGGTTGGTGTGAGAGAGTGATGGAAAGAGACATGGATAACAGAGGGAGAGGAAGGGGGTATAGGAATGAAGACCGATGTCATGTTAAGCAGGGTGGAGGACATGAATGCAGGAATGAGAGAGGGGTTTGTTCAGGACCGACAAGGTGAGTCATGAGTGATGGAAGGTCAGGGTTAGAGTCAGGAGTCAGAGTTAGGAGGACAGAGTGTGAGTTACTGACCAGCTGTTCTCCTGACAGCACCTCCAGCAGGCGGATGAGCATGCGTCCATCTCTCAGGTCAGTGTACAGGTCCCCGATGCGGCACGTCACACGGCCCAGGTGAGAGTTCACCCACTTAGTGAAGGTCTTCTTCTGTACTGCTTCACGCTCATCTGGAGTGGAGAGCAGAGGGGAAGGTGGGTTACAGCGAGGGTAAACCAATCATAAGCCAGCTCATTGTGACTTGCTGGCAAGTGTGAAGTCATTCATTGCTTTGTAATAACCTACTCCCCGTCCAATACTGTCAGCAAAATAAATATAGAGGGGATGCAATTTTGCTCGAGACAAACACTGATGTAGTCTTATACGGCCATTAAAAAGCCTGAATCACCCCTCAGACTGAGACTGATGACAGAGTCAGTAAATCACGGTGACCTGAGCTCCGGTACACAGCACTTCATTTCACAGATAAGCTATGCCATTAGGTCATTGGAATCATTGAATTGACAGACAACTTAGCAGAGGGTTCTTTAGGCCCCTAACTGAACCTAAGTGACTGGGCTGCTGACGCGGCTTCCGCCAGTCACCTGAGAGTCTGGATGGGCGACCAGCCTTGAATAGCCACGCTAACAGCTCACAATGATGCTAACAAACACAAGCCCTGGGTGTAAATCAATGATGCAATATCGCAGGAAGACAGGATGAAATGCGTTGCGTTTAAAGGAGAACACTTCACTATAATGTTCCAGGAAGATAAAGGGTACACCATGAAGCAGTGGCAGAGATATGGAGCAGAGGAGTGAGACGCTACACCTGCCTCTAAACAAGGAGACCTCAATTCTAGGTCACATGGTCTGTGTGAGCTAGATCTAGTCTAGGGCAGAAAATATAATTACAGTCTAGTAGCTATGGGACCACACACATAATAAACAAGGCAACAGTAAACATGTCATCCCTACAAATGATGCAGCGCCCCCCCCCTTGGGCCAACAGATATTGCTAGTGACTAACACATTTCAGTTAATTACTATAGCTCCCGCCTTGGGCCAATCAGTGCAATTTTGTAAATGCCAGATCTCTATGGAAAGATGCATCATTCACCCAAGTTTCGTCAAAATTGGGCCAGAACCACTATTTAGTACCTGTATTGTGATATACGCTACACTCCTCATGCTAATGGGCTATGTTCCTTGTGACCTAGGCTCAGGTTGTCTGGCAGAAAATCTCTCCTCAAGGCAAAGTTGCGTCACAGAGTGACTAGGGCTAAATGACTAGGAAACTCCATCTGTCTCATGCCTCACCCACCCCTGGAGCAGGAGGTCTATTAGGCTGAGCCGTGCCCCACCTGGGTCCAGGCTAACAGCTCCTACACTGGGTCCAGGGACAGAGATAGAGATAGGCAGCACCACACCACATCACCTGGCCAGTGGCCTGCTGGTGCCCTGCCCGATGACAGGCACAGCGACTGGGCCGGGGAGCAGCTGGCTGCATGGCAGAACGTTGGTAATCCTGAGCTGATTTATGGCAGTCCTTGAAGGATTAGGTGGCCACTTTACAAGGTTTAAGGAAGCACCCCTCTTCCTGCTGAGGATCCTTTCAATCAAACGCTAATGGTTTTTTTCAGGAGAGGAGGGTGGCTGGGGGAGGGAGGGACAGTGACGGGCAGGCAGAGAGGGCCAGCAGCAGGTCACTCTGAGATGACAGCCTGCAGACTTCACAGCTCTCGTTGGGTGACACTAAGATGGAGTGAGACATGTGGGGGAATAGTATTGGTGTCGATCCCTTGCTTTTACATGGGTGTGCCCTATCAGGGAGGGAGGTGGGTTTTCAACTTGAAAACGCTCTACATGTATTTATCAAATACCAACTCAGAGACTGCTGTGGCAGCTGTTTTATTTACGTAGGGTCTAGGAGGAGGTCGTCATAATGAGTTAGGCCTGGCTAGCTCTACAAACATGTTTTTTTTTGCAGGGCTTCTGCTGCTAGACCAGAAGAAAGGATACACACTTACAAACTAACTTCAAACATTCCAAAACGTAACTTTTAAACCATGTCATAGCAGATAGCTAATTAATACATGCCCAGAGGGTCTACCGTGGAGTATAATGCTCCTCGCCAGTCTAAGCAGCAGCCTATTGTTGGATGAAATTGTTGGGTTCTACAGTAAGCGGGATTACTTCTAATGAGATGGACTGAGGTTTGCTCTTATCAGACCAGATACAGGAAAGCCCAGGCGATAATGTAGGACCATTAAATCTAACTGAACCCCTATTTAATGAGCACGTCCCATGATGACATGCTAAACGTCTTATCTGAGTGGCGGAGATCAGTAAGAAACTAGTTCAGCGAGTTGACACCCTGAAGTGATGCATGACAACACACGACTAAAACGTCAGCTGTCCCACGTCAACGTGAACCCAGACACCAAATACAAATGGACCCATTCTGGAATATCACTCTATTTTTCTTTCACTACAAAGTAATAACCCAAATTCACCAGTGTGAACACTGCCATTCGGTTGTTGACGAGGAAATCTGCTCCAGCTCACCCCAATTCAATTCCCCTAAACCCCTCTGAGCTTGACCTGTGAAGCAGCTCTGACCTCTCCTGTACCCCTCTACTACACCTGATAAGGAGGACTGAAATGTTATTTCTCCCTCTAGAAACACTGCTAGGGGGTACAGGGGATGCACTGCAGTATGTCACTGCTTGACGGGCTGTAATTATAATGGGATGTTTGACGGCTATAAATTGTTAAACATTAGATAAAGAGAGCAATTACCAAATAAATGGAATTCCATGGCTGTGAATCTGGCTGCTCATGACTGGGTTTAGCAACAAAACACTTGCCAGGTTCTCTGGGACTCGGGAAAAAGGTCTTCGGGAGGCTCGAGTGTGTGTGACCATAACCAGTGGTTGTTATCTAGCACAAAAAGGGGAGGATAACCTCCCCCTCCTGGACTGAGTCTGTGCTTGGATCTGGCAACCTTGACAGCTTCAGGGTCCCGGCCAAGCCTGGCTGGAGTGGAGCAGACAGACAGTGGCCTGAACTTCACCTCAGTACATGATGATCAGCTGTTCTAAGTGCCATTCCTATAAATCCCCATGATACGTGTTGATAGAACAAACAATCCACAGCTCAGAAGCTGAAAACTTGAAAGGTGGAAATGAATGTACTCTACAGAGAGATCTAAACAAGGTCACTGTGAAATACAACGGTCAGGTGGGCGCAGAAAGCACAGAGTCGGAGCACAGAGAGACAGAGGAGGGCCAAGTGTGCAATGCAGTGCCAGTGGTGACCTGTTTCATCAGGATAGAGCTGCTTTGCAATGCAAATGGTGTGTAGCTTTCAGCAGCTAGAAACTGGGCACAGTACCATACACACACACTCAGAGGGACCAATCAGTTAAAATAAATGGTCCTCATAAGCCAATCACCTCCAAACAAAGTGAGGATGAGCCCTTTTTTAAATTTCAATCTTGTCTCATCACTGCAATTCCCCAACGGGCTCGGGAGAGGCGAAGGTCGAGTCATGCGTCCTCTGAAACATGACCCGCCAAACCGCGCTTCTTAACACCCGCCCGGTTAACCCGGAAGCCAGCCGCACCAATGTGTCGGAGGAAACACTGTTCAACTGAGGACCGAAGGCAGCCTGCAGGTGATGAGCCAAGTAAACCACCCCCCCCGGGCCAAACCCTCCCCTAACCTGTACGACGCTGTGCCAATTGTGTGCCGCCCTACGGGACTCCCGGGTCTGTAGTGACGCCTCAAGCACTGCGATGCACAGCAAACATACCTAGAGACACACCTGTATACAAACCACTACATCTAAGCCATGACCTTACATAGAGATATTATTCTGGACGATAAATCTAAATATTATTTTTGACAATACCGCAACATATTTTTTGCGCTAGTCAGCTGTACCTGCACCAAAACTCCAGTATTTTTCCTTAATAGCTTGTTGTCAATCTTCTTTTTAAATAGTGAGCCAATTTGTTTTCAGCACCTAGCTGACAAGGGAAAAGCTTGTTGACGTATGGCTTAACTAAACCATATTATGCGGTAAATGTGCAGTGATTGAAATTGCGAGCCCTCTTTTTGGACTGTGGTGATGGGTCCGTTTTATGCGATAATATTGCGATAATTTGACTCTTATGCGGTTACAGTGCAGTGAATTGTTGATTTTGCACACACAAATGCGATCGCAGAATCCTGGAAGGACTGAGTAGGTTCTTGTCAAGGCTCTATACTGAATGAAGCGAGACCGTTGCTGTTGTGAAAGGAAATCGCACCTTTTCTTGCGTTGCAGACTTTGCAATAAACAAGCTGAAGGGACAATGACAGAAATCATGAGTCATCATCACCATCTTCCAACAAACACTGGAGGCGCTCATGACTTTCCAGATTCTCTCTTTATGTGCTCTTCAGGATTTCAATCCTATGTGTCTGTGTGATAGGATACACAACACACTCAAAACAAGCAGCAAGAGCACACAGGTAAGTGACACTGTGTGGCTTCAGTGGCAATCACACCCTTAAGCTAGATTTCAGAGACAGATAGCCGGTAACACATTAGTGTCTTGTGAGCACATCCCCCCCCAAAAAAAATATTTGGTGGTAAAATAAGCTCTATACTTGAATTGACTATTCTATAGTACCCAGCCAGAATAACAATGACAAGGCCGAGTAACAGGAGTGTGATACGTCTGGGATTGAGTCTGGATAAAAAGCATTATAAATGCTAAACAGTCATCACGTCCACTGCCTCCTTACCTCCCCGGGCACCAGAAGCAAAGACAGAGGAACGACAGACAGGCAGGCAGACTATGAGACATGTCCACGGCTACACATCAGTCTATAATCATTCCGTCTGCTTTACCTCACTCTAATTCAGGTGTGAATGATTACATTTCGAGGTGACATTTTAATTTTCTTTCCTCTCCTTTTCCTAACCCTTGAGAAGCCCCTGGCCCTGGGTGCATGAGTGTTGGGTTTCATAGGCTTGTGTAACAATGGTGGTATAAGTTACTCGCCTGCTCCGTCTCCCTCTCTCTCCCCCAGGCCTTTTGTGTGTCTGAAGACAAAGATTGAGAGGAGTAGGACAGATCGGCTTGGCTGTGTGTGACAGTCAGACAGTCAGCAGCAGCCCATCTGCGGCTTAAGGACGGTTATGACCCGACTTGACACACGAACACATGGACCAGCATTTGTGCGTGCACTTAGACACGTATGCATCTACGCACAAATGCAGAACTTGAATGGAATCTAAAAACAGTCACAGACCCACCCTTGTTCTTAACCAAACCACACTGTTCTCTGAATAGAGCCAGCCAGGCGCAAACATAGTGCAGCGACAAAGTCAAAGAAACACCTCTGAACTCAGTGGTGATAAGTCATCCAACGATTTAATCAAATCAACCTATCACACAGACACATAGGATTGAAATCACGAAGAGCACATAAAGAGAGAATCTGGAAAGTCATATATTAGCATTAGGAACAGAAAAACTTATCTCCCGACACTATTCTGACTCAAGGAAACAGATAAGGTTGAGCAGATACTAGCTGTCCTGGGAGACTTGGGGAGTCAGGTATAGAGAGGTCTTCCTCAAGGCCCAGCCACAAGGTTCTTAAACCTCCCAGTTGTCATGGACACACACACTTCCTAATGACTCCCAAGGTAAACACTGTGATAGGATGGGAAAATATGGCATTACACCACAATAACGGCTCTATGGCTTCCACAGGCCAGAGAAGATGTTGGGAAATATAATTTTCTCCTCATAGGACGCCACAGCCTCACTGACAGTCCTTGTTTGTCCTGGGTCTTTGTGAGAACATCTGCCATGTCACACCCCCCCCCCCCCTCTGGGCATCATACCTGCCCTGGCACTCCCAAAAACAAACAGGTAATAATAGCCTCTTCACTCTCGCTCCTTTATCTCTCGCACACAACAAGTGCCAGACATAGCGTGTGGGTTTCCTTCAGAGCTGAGCGTGCGGTTACCTTTCCAGAGGTAAGCTGGGGAGCTGCAGAGGGAGCCTGGTCAATGAACCACCTGAGGTGGATTACAATGCTGGGGAGGGAGGGTGGAGGGGGGTAGGGGGTGCACATTCCTCCTGATGCCGGTCGTGTTGTGACAGCACCCAGCCCTAAGGAGGAGGAGGTGGTGGTAACAGGGTGCTAACAGAAACCAGGCTCAACCCTTCCCTGCCCCACTTCTAATAGCAGGCCCGGTCAGAAGGATACACAAAATTGTGTTCGTTGTCCGTAGATTATGCCTGCCCATACCAGAACCCCAACGCCACCATGGGGCACTCTGTTCACAACATTGACATCAGCAAACCGCGCACCCACACGACGCCATACACGCTGTCTGCAATCTACCCAGTACAGTTGAAACCAGGATTCATCCGTGAAGAGCACACTTCTCCAGCGTGCCAGTGGCCATCGAAGGTGAGCATTTGCCCACTGAAGTGGAACTGCGGTCAGGTCAAGACCCTGGTGAGGATGACAAGAATGCAGAGGAGTTTCCCTGAGACAGTTTGTGCAGAAATTCTTCAGTTATACAAACCCACTCAGCTTCATCAGCTGTCCAGGTGACTGGTCTCAGACCCAACCCCGCAGGTGAAGAAGCCGGATGTGGAGGTCCTGGGCTGGTGTGGTTACACGTGGTTGTGAGGCCGGTTGGACATACTGCCAAATTATCTAAAACGATGTTGGAGGCGGCTTAAGGTAGAGGAATTAACAAATTCTCTGACAACAGCTCTGGTCGCTGCAGTCAGCATGGCAATTGCACGCTCTCTCAAAACTTGAGACATCTGTGGCATTGTGTTGTGTGACAAAACTGCATTGTCCCCAGCATCTGTATAATGATCATGCTGTTTAATCAGCTTCTTGATATGCCACACCTGTCAGGTGGATAGATTATCTTGGCAAAGGAGAAATGCTGACTAACAGGGATGTAAACAAATTTTTGCACAAATTTTTTGTTTGTATGGAACATTTCTGTGTTCTTTTATTTCAGCTCATGAAACATGGGACCAACACTTTACATTTGTATGACAGGAAGGTGCTCCTAATGTTTGGTAAACTCAGTGTGCTGCAAAGTTGTCTAAGAGATAAAAACAGGGCGATCTTGTCTGTCGGCACCATCTTGTCATACAAAAACAAAATGCTTGAGTCCAACCTGCTACCCTCCAATTTAACCCCAACAACACCCGATGGCATCTGTGCTGAAACACTGATAAAAACAGTGATCTGAAGGTAATCCAGCCAGAAATGCAGCCATTGCTAATCCTGTGTCTGTGAGGCCCATGCAGGCTGAGCACTATCTCTCAGATGGGCAGATAGTGAACCTTCCTGGCAGGTAGCTACAGTAGACTGCATTGTAACATGTGGCCTACATAACATACAGTTTAGCCATCTACTGTCAGAACAATGGTGGAAGCGGGAAATAATGACAAGCCGTGACAAGAAAAGTGGACGGTTATAGATGAGGGCATCAGGTCCTATGATGGCTTGTTGAGGAAGTGGGTCCACTTGAAAACCTCATGATCCTTGACTGCACTGATACGGTATATCATTTCAGAGAAAAGTTCCATGCCCTTCACACCATATTGACAGCAAACTTGAGGCACTGTATACACAACACGCTCTCTGTGGCCCAACACAATAATGTCAGAACAGTCCTTTAGCCCTGTGCCAGTACTGATGATTACATCATGTCTACCAGAGACAGAGAGAGATGATTGACGTGTTTATTTCCCTTGTGCCTCGAATTGAACATGTCCACCTTTGTCCCTTCCTACTGTATCCTCCTGTATTCTACAGTCTGATCCATATCATGGCTTATCAGTTCTAGTCTCTCCAGTCTGTCTGTCATGCAGTGGCAGGTGCAGTAGAACATATAGTGGTACAGTCCTGTGCCAGGTAGCTCTGCTGACTGATGTGTTGCTCCAAGCCTGGCACCTCTCACCACTCCATGGCTCCCACAGGGCTGACTTGAGGACAGGACACAGAATGGGCTTTGGCCTGAGGGAGACGTAGGATTACTAAGGTAGTGCAATAGATCTCTAGACACTATTAAACAAACACTCAAACAGGCAACAGAAGCAAGATCTGTCATATTTCTGTAGATATATATGAATGATTTATAAAGCCAGGCACATTTAACAGTTAGGCTATCGATTAGACCTAATTAAGTTGGGGTTCCTCTCTCCGCAATTCTCTTAGATAATTAGACTAAGGCAAGGGCTGTTTCCTCATCTCTGCTGCTGCCTCCGCCGCATTGTTCTCAATCCCAATATGCTGGTTTACGTTCCTATTATGCACATAGCAACATAAGGAAAGGCGCCAATTCTACGGCACACTGAAGATTATGTTTTAGAACCGTGGACATCGACCGTATCCAATGCGGGAGAAAGCGCAATTTTTTATAAAATAATATTAGATTTATTAGTGTTGCATCATTATTTTTACATAATATAACCATTTACAATTTCAGTATCACGTCTTAGTGATGGACTGTGCCATCCCCGTGGACTCCGCAATGGATTAGTCCACTGAGACAGGCGCGAATCAGGCAGGTGTCTTTGTGCACCATGAATTAATTTTTTATAAATACGACTGCTCAACTAAAGAAATCTCGGTCGACCAACAGCCTATCGACCAAACAAATCGACCAGTCGACTAAATGTGGTCAACCCTAATTTACCTAGTCGTCTTGTTCTGTGTTCTTTTTTTTTTCTTTCTTTTTTTATATAATATTTTTATTCACAATGAATGAAAGATAACATTTAAAGACATTGTACATTTTTTCCCCTTTTTGGTCGCCCTTTGACCTCCCCCCCAGAATGCCTCCAAACACATTTAAAAAGAAAGGAAAAGTAATTGAGTTACATGTCAGAAAACAAAACAAAAGTATACAACAAATGTTACTTCAATATAAGCAAAAATGTAATAGCCTAACAATTTCAGGTGATTAGGTGATTTTATAGGCCTATAGTGGTAATCTCAAGGGGCGGGGTGGGGCCAAGAGTACTAATCTGGAGGAAGTGTTTGGAGCTGTTCAAAATAGGATATCATCAGGTCCCAGGTGGAATATAATGAGTTGGTTGACCCTCGAATGGTATACTTAATTTTTTCTAATTTTAGGAACAGCATCAGATCTTTGAGCCAAAGAGAGGCTGAGGATTGATAGATTTCCAATCCAATAAAATAATTCTGCGGGCTAACAGGGAGACAAAGGCAATGGCATCCAGCTGTCCATTGGTCAGAGAAGGATTGTTGTTTGGTACTCCAAAAATAGCAATTTCTGCACTAGGCTGCAACTTTATATCAAATGCTTCAGAAAGGGTTTTAAATATAGTGGACCAATAATCTGCCAGACGGGGACAGGACCAGAACATGTGGGTCAAGTCCCCCAAGGAGCCTTTACACCTGTCACATGTACCATCAATATTTGGGTAGAAGTTGGACAATCTGGCCTTACTGAAATGGATACGGTGAAGTACCTTAAACTTGATAAGGCTGAGCCGGGCACAAGAGGAGCTTCCATTTACCCTAAGTAAGGTGCCATTCCAGACTTCATCAGAGATCTCTCCACCAAGTTCCCGTTCCCACTCAGATCTAATTTTATTGAGTGACGGGTTATCAAGGGACATGATTATCTCAGAAATACAGGATATGAGTCCCTTATGTTGAAATGGTGTTTTCAAAAGGGCATCCAGACCCGATATGGGTGATAGAATTGGAATGGTTGAGCTTTGAGTGCGAATAAACTGGCAGATTTGGAAATACCTAAATAAACTTGAATAGGGTAGATTAAATTTGATAGCGAGGTCTTTCGAAATTGGCAAAGGTGCCATCAATATAAAGGTCATTAAACTTAGTAAGGCCATTCCTCTGCCACAACCTGAAAGCTGAATCCAGTTTTCCTGGAAGGAAGAGGTGATTTTTACATATACAGTGGGGAGAACAAGTATTTGATACACTGCCGATTTTGCAGGTTTTCCTACTTACAAAGCATGTAGAGGTCTGTAATTGTTATCATAGGTACACTTCAACTGTGAGAGACGGAATCTAAAACAAAAATCCAGAAAATCACATTGTATGATTTTTAAGTAATTAATTTGCATTTTATTGCATGACATAAGTATTTGATCACCTACCAACCAGTAAGAATTCCGGCTCTCACAGACCTGTTAGTTTTTCTTTAAGAAGCCCTCCTCTTCTCCACTCATTACCTGTATTAACTGCACCTGTTTGAACTCGTTACCTGTATAAAAGACACCTGTCCACACACTCAATCAAACAGACTCCAACCTCTCCACAATGGCCAAGACCAGAGAGCTGTGTAAGGACATCAGGGATAAAATTGTAGACCTGCACAAGGCTGGGATGGGCTACAGGACAATAGGCAAGCATTTTGGTGAGAAGGCAACAACTGTTGGCGCAATTATTAGAAAATGGAAGAAGTTCAAGATGACGGTCAATCACCCTCGGTCTGGGGCTCCATGCAAGATCTCACCTCGTGGGGCATCAATGATCATGAGGAAGGTGAGGGATCAGCCCAGAACTACACGGCAGGACCTGGTCAATGACCTGAAGAGAGCTGGGACCACATTCTCAAAGAAAACCATTAGTAACACACAACGCCGTCATGGATTAAAATCCTGCAGCGCACGCAAGGTCCCCCTGCTCAAGCCAGCGCATGTCCAGGCCCGTCTGAAGTTTGCCAATGACCATCTGGATGATCCAGAGGAGGAATGGGAGAAGGTCATGTGGTCTGATGAGACAAAAATAGAGCTTTTTGGTCTAAACTCCACTCGCCGTGTTTGGAGGAAGAAGAAGGATGAGTACAACCCCAAGAACACCATCCCAACCGTGAAGCATGGAGGTGGAAACATCATTCTTTGGGGATGCTTTTCTGCAAAGGGGACAGGACGACTGCACCGTATTGAGGGGAGGATGGATGGGGCCATGTATCGCGAGATCTTGGCCAACAACCTCCTTCCCTCAGTAAGAGCATTGAAGATGGGTCGTGGCTGGGTCTTCCAGCATGACAACGACCCGAAACACACAGCCAGGGCAACTAAGGAGTGGCTCCGTAAGAAGCATCTCAAGGTCCTGGAGTGGCCTAGCCAGTCTCCAGACCTGAATGCAATAGAAAATCTTTGGAGGGAGCTGAAAGTCCGTATTGCCCAGCGACAGCCCCGAAACCTGAAGGATCTGGAGAAGGTCTGTATGGAGGAGTGGGCCAAAATCCCTGCTGCAGTGTGTGCAAACCTGGTCAAGACCTACAGGAAACATATGATCTCTGTAATTGCAAACAAAGGTTTCTGTACCAAATATTAAGTTCTGCTTTTCTGATGTATCAAATACTTATGTCATGCAATAAAATGCAAATTAATTACTTAAAAATCATACAATGTGATTTTTTGATGCTAGTGGTTGTATTCATTTGGGATCTATCGCATCCCACAACTGTCCCAGACTATGTTTGGAATATTTATTTCCTCGCACAGAATAGGTCGACTTTTGTACTATGGGGGATAGTAGATTGACATAGGCTAGTGCTTTTGCTGTTCATCATGCTTCTTTAGACCGGTCTAAAATAAATAAAGGATTTATTGTGAAGGTGTAGGCTATATTACATGGATTTATTTGACTTTTTTTTAAATGTAAATGTTCCAAAGGTCTGCATCAGTGGCTTGTAAGCTATGTGTGGAAGCCAGGAGATGCTAAATGTGTTTATGTTAATTAACGGTCAATTACCGTGAGACCGACAGTTATTTGCTTGACAATCACTGGCTGACGAAATTTCGTGACCGCCACAGCCCTACCCCTGACCCCATAAAGTCTGCCCTCCCTCGTATCACCACCACTGGGCTGCCTGCTTGTGTAACCAGCACCAGCACCTCCAGTCACCTCGTCCTGAGAAAGAATGAGGAAACTATCAGCATCAATCAGTCAGTCTGCCTTTACAGCCTTTTGTAACACACTCCCCACTGATACAGGATTATTATGGGAATCCTCCCCAAGGGCACTACAAAGGCCCTCACCACCTGACAGCCCTCTCTGAGCCTGACTTATAAATGTAGCTCTAGTACCTAGAGAGAAAGAATCTGTCTATTATTTATGTAGACAGATAAGACCACAACATAATGTTACACTGAAGACATCGGTTTGCTAGAGGCTTTATTCTGGTGCCATTTATTTGAATTGTAGTGAGTGCTTTTCAATTCTGTTTATTGTAATGCTGTTTGGTGTAGCGACATTTACTTTTTGATGCGTTTGCTTGTTATTCTGTTTTCATGCGGATGTTCAACTCAGAATGAAAATGTACCTTGACTTGTAATCTGCTCTGGATAACAGTGTAATGTAGGCGGAGCATAAACGTGATGAATACCTACTGTTGGATGAGTTTTTATTGGGCCAGGAGGTCTACACCTGTTGTATTCGGCACATGTGACAAATACAATTTGATTTGATTTGTTGGTTTGTTTATAAGTGTGTATGCCTGCGCTGCATGTGAGTATGTGTGGGTGAATAATCCCCTCATCAGAAGGCCATTATTAGTGCAGTCAGACGCTGCGCCTTCAGCTCTGTAATTGAACGCTGAACTGGGCTTAAGGATCAATTTCTCAGCCAGCTCCCTCAAGCAGCTACAATACAGCCTGTGATTAGAGGCTACAGCCAGGGTACTCATTAGCACCCACCCACCCTCCCACATGCACACGCAGGAAGCAAACGCCAGAAGATATGGTCAAACATAAAACAGACATATACAGTCAGGTCCAAAATTATTGACAACCTTGATAAAGATTAGCAAAAACTTCTAAAATAAGTAAGGGATAATCAACAAGAGGCTACGCGTTCTATGGAAAATAATGAATGATGTGGAAGGTGTGTTCCAAGATGAGCTAGCAGAGTGGAACTGACCTTCCACAGAGTTGCATTATTTTCCAGAGAACACATAGCCACAAGTTGACTATCCCTTTTATACCATGGCTATAACTTAAACACATTGCCACTAGAAATGTGTTCATTTGCCGCTAGAAATTTGCTCAACGTCCACTGAAGTAGCTAGCAAGTTTATACTAGATAGTGACAGTAGTTGCCTTGGTAACCAAACAACTAAACCATCAATCCTAACTTGCTATTATGAAAATCGAATTCAACAATGCCAATAATGTTTTCAATTCGACTTTTGCTTTCAAAAGCAGCGCAAACATAGAACATGTAAGAATGAACTATAGCCATTGAATTCTACCATGCAAATATACTGTGTGTTATACGGAAATAATGCATGCTCTAGAATGCCCTTCAAGCCAATCAGAAACGAGTATTCAACAATGCTATGGTATAAGTAAGGGATACACGCAGACGTTTTGTAGATTACCTTGGTAATAATGGATGCCGAAGGCAAGGTAATGTACAGAACGGAGGCGTTTACCCCGCTTATACCACAGTTGCCAAAGAAAACAATACTAAAGCACACATTTACTGGTAGAAATAAAACGTTTTTGATATTTTCATTTTTATGAGAGAATTCACGCTTTCTCATCTTTTGATTCCTAGAGACTATATGTACGTTCTATATGTTCCGTTGCCATGCTCGCTGGCAACGTTCTTGTCACTTCCTTGCTAGCTAGCCAACTAGCTACGGCAAACAGCCATAATAACAGCAAAGTAGCTGCATTTGCATTTGTTCAGGCTGTTTTCTATTGACATTCATTTGGATACATCCATAACAATGAGCTGATGATGCCCAATTTTGCCTGGCATAGATAGAAAAGTTTTACCTCGTCAGGACACTCGATACTGTTCATTACAAGGAGATCACATTGCATTTCAAACGCTAGGCTAGAACCTAGCTAAATAGTTTGTTGCTAGCATACCTGCCAGTATGGCAAATTAATTCAAAAATACCAGTTGCTTAAAACAGCTGGTCAAACTAGAAATATGTGGGAGGATTTGACAGCATTGCACCACTTGCGTCATTACTGCAACACAGGGCCCGGAGAAATTAATGTCCATCCCTCACGATATTAGGTTATCAGATGCTCCCAAAAAATATGTCTGCAAAAACAAATCAATGCCAGCTAGCTACGTTTTTCCTCATTGGACCAGTGTTTACAATGTAACCAATTTCAGTTTGTGTGGTTGTTGGTTTAGCTTTCAGTAACTTTGTAGCAAGTACCGTCTGCATGTGCAGGCGCATATTACATCATGATTACAAGGTGTCCCAATATCTTTTCCAACTGTCCCGTTATCTGGTTTTATTGTCCTTTCTAGAATGCCCTTCTAGCCAATCAGAAACGAGTATTCAACAATGCTGTGGTATGAAAGGAAATGATGCACGCGCTAGAATGCCCTTCAAGCCAATCAGAAACAAGTATTCAACAATGCAATGGTATAAATTATTTTATACTAATACAACTGCTGAGATAATGATTTTGTTTAACAAGTCATCTTTTTTTCTCTCAAAAAGATACGGGTCAAAATTATTGCCACCCCTGTTTTCAATACCGCACCTGCGAGGATAAAGGCACTGAGCCCTTTTCTAAAATATTTTATGGAGACTGGAGAACACAGGGGTTAAAGCAACAACAACAAAAATCCCATGACTGAAACTTGTCTAATGTAAGAAAGTCATGACCATAATGCTTTTAGGAAAAGAGAATCATTTTGTACATGTATTAAACTACGAATTTGACAAACTCCAGTCCCCTTGCTTAGGGGGTCCGGGGTCCTCCCTGGGAAAAAGTTTATGTAAAGGGCTGAGAATCTCAGTTCTGGTGACTTTTTAAAAGGACATTCTACTCCCAAATTAATTTAAATAAAATGATGTTGACACCATCGAAAATATAATTTCCAGCTCCAGAAATGGGCCCAATAACATATTGGTCAAAATGATGTACAATAATTTTAACATATTGGACCATGCATATAGCCTATGCATGGTCTATATTATCAGATGTGCTATTAGCAATAACCATTATCACCTGTAGCCCAACTGATGAAGCAAAGTGTCCATTTAAATGTACAGTGGGGAGAACAAGTATTTGATGGTTGGAGTCTGTTTGAGTGTGTGGACAGGTGTCTTTTATACAGGTAATGAGTTCAAACAGGTGCAGTTAATACAGGTAATGAGTGGAGAAGAGGAGGGCTTCTTAAAGAAAAACTAACAGGTCTGTGAGAGCAGGAATTCTTACTGGTTGGTAGGTGATCAAATACTTATGCCATGCAATAAAATGCAAATTAATTACTTAAAAATCATACAATGTGATGTTCTGGATTTTTGTTTTAGATTCCGTCTCTCACAGTTGAAGTGTACCTATGATAAAAAATTAGACCTCTACATGCTTTGTAAGTAGGAAAACCAGCAAAATCGGCAGTGTATCAAATACTTGTTCTCCCGACTGTACATAGCCTGAAGCATGTTTTTTTTTATCTGGCATAGAACACACAACAACAAGCCGACTGGGTAAATAGGTAACACCTGCAATTTCCATGTCAGACCGACCAGGTGAACGCTACAGTATGATCCCTTATTGATGTCACTTGTTAAATCCACTTCAAATCAGTGTAGATGAAGGGGAGGAGATGGGTTCAATAAGGATTTTTAAGCCTTGAGACAATTGAGACATGGATTGTGTATGTTTGCCATTCAGAGGGTGAATGGGAAAGACAAAAAATGTAAGTGCCTTTGAACAGGGTATGGTAGTAGGTGCCAGGCGCACCGGTTTGTGTCAAGAACTGAAACGCTGCTGGGTTTTTCACACTCAACAGTTCCCTGTGTGTATCAAGAATGGTCCACCACCCAAAGGACATCCAGCCAACTTGACACAACTGTGGGAAGCATTGGAGTCAACATGGGCCAGCATCCCTGTGGAATGCTTTCGACACCTTGTAGAGTCCATGCCTGACGAATTCAGGCTGTTCCGAGGGCAAAATATATATTTTTATTGTCACAGTTAGGTGCAGTGAAATGTGTTATTTTACAGGGTGAGCCGTAGTAGGAAATTAGGGTTAAGCGCCTTGCTCAAGGGCACATCGACAGAGCCTTGTCGACTCAGGTATTCGAACCTGCAACCTTTGTTACTGACCCAATGCTCTAACTGCTAGGCTACTTGCCGCCCTATTAGGAAGGTGTTCTTAATGTTTTGTACACTCTGTATTTCATAGAACAGACATGCTTCTGTCTGTATCTCCAAACCAGCCCGCCCCCTCTACTGATCTCAACAACGACCTCTCCAGAATTAATATGACAGAAATCCGAGGTCTTTAACCCCTGAGAATACATTTGGAGGGATCTTGAGTTAGACTATTCTTCCAAACAGAAGGATCCTTGATATCCTTAATCTGCGCATATTAGGGGTGTGCCTACCTGGCCCTACTTATATTCTATCCTAAGTAGGCTAGATGTTGGCAAAATACTGCACGTTCATAGACCAAAAAAGCTGCAGATTAGGAGCAGCGCGCAAAGTGTGTGTGTGTGTGTGTGTGTGTGTGTGTGTGTGAGAGAGACCGTGTCATCAACTTGCAGCTGGCAGACAAGTTTGCTGTCACTGAGTCAGAATGCGCATCAGCAATTCATATTATTTACCCTACACTCGGCCCGCGTGTTAAATGCTATGCACATTGATACCTCGTAGCAAACGTCCTCAGCATTTTATTTATCATAGTAGCAGGCTAACTGGAGCCAGCAGCAATCTAAATGATCCGACCGAAAACATGCAAGGATAAGTGATCGGGTGAATGAAGCAAAGCGAGTGGACGGAGAAATACAGCTTTGCTCTATCCAATCAGATCAGCAGGGTCAACGTACAGCCCACCCTTCTCTATACACACAGGCAAACTAGCCAGTTGAGTTACTTTGAACACGTAGCACCTCGCACTTGATTGAAAGATGCGCGCTGGCACCTGATTATTATTTAATTTTTTATCACGATAAACAAAAAACTACTAATCAAAACGATACTCGTTTGGCCGACTACTCGGCACAGCCCTAGCGCATATACAGTAGGCTGCACACTTCAATTCAAACCACAGGTTTTCAAATGGGGTTCAAGTCCGGAGACAGAGATGGCCATTGAAAAATGTTGATTTTGTGGTCAATTAACCATTTCTTTGTGGATTTTGATTTGTGATTGGGGTTATTGTCTTGCTGGAAGATCCACTTGTGGCCAAGTTCCAGCCTCCTGGCAGAGGCAACCTGGTTTTCGCCTAAAATGTCCTGGTACTAGGTAAAGTTCATGATGCCATTGACCAAAATTGCCTCATAACATCAAAGATCCACCACCATATTTTACGTATGGGGTTATTTTCTGCTTATGCATCCTTATGTCGACGCCAAAGAGCGTTATTTAAATGTTTTGCTCATCTTTGTCAAGGGTGACAATTTTTGACCTGAACGTTTATAGAAATTCGTCATGCATGATGACACCAACACACAGGTGTCTAGTATCTCTCACTTCCTTATCTAACAGATGTAACCATCATAATAATATTTTGTCATTGGAAAGTATTTTAATTCTACACCTATAAAAACATGGAATGTTACACAAAAAAAGAAAGGCTGTGAAGTGGAAACACGTTTGAAAATGCAAAGTTAGGTTGAGCAACGGTTTGGTTCGCATAACCCAGGGGTGTCAAACGTCCGGCCCGCGGGCCGGATCAGGCCCGCAAACGGGTTTAATCCGGCCCGCAAGATGATTTTGAAAAAAAATAATAATAATAATAATAATTTTGTAAAGTATAAAAATGTGCTGCAATTTTTCAATAAAATAAACTGCTGTTCCAATTGCGTCCACTGGATGGCGCAATAGCAATTGTGTTAAGCAAGCAAACTGTTTATACCGGGGCAGAGCAAGTAGGTCAAGCACGTGCAGCCAATGAGCTACTTTGTTTTGCCCGCGATATTTATTACGGCTTCTACTTTTAACATTATGTGCTTTGGCACCCTCATTGCCCCAATATGTCTCTGTCAAAAAAGAGAAAAGTGGACGCAGAGTGCAGAGTGTTCCAAGAAAAATTGTCATCCAATTTATGCTGAAAGAATATAACCTTCGTCGCCACTATGTGAGTCTTCATGCCGACAAATATGACAACTTTCAAGGACAGCGGAGATGAGAGAAGGTGAATGAACTGTTGGTGGGTCTGAAGAAACAGCAGTCTGTGTTTACTCACAGCCGAGACATCAGTGACGCTGCAGTGAAAGCTAGCTACCTCATTGCTAATGAAATCGCAGTGGCTTCAAAACCATTTAGTGAGGGTGAATTTGTAAAAACATGCATGATGAAGGCAGCGGAGATTGTGTGCCCTGAAAAGCGGCAGGCTTTTGCAAATATCAGCCTGACAAGAAACACAGTTGCAGACAGGAATTTCCGATCTTTCAGTGGATTTGGACAGCCAGTTGAAGCAAAAAGTAAAGTCATTTTTTGCGTTTTCGGTTGCAATTGATGAAAGCACGGACATTACAGATGTTGCACAACTGGCCATTTTCATCCGCGAAGTTGATGACACATTGACCGTCACCGAGGAGTTCGTGGAGTTGGTGCCGATGACAGATACAACGACAGCAGCTGATATTTTTACCGCACTCGTCGGCGCGCTGGACAGGGTCGGAGTGGACTGGTCCCGCGCTGTCAGCCTGGCTACAGATGGTGCGCCCTCAATGATCGGGAAAAAAGCAGGCGTTGTGACAAAGTTCAGAGAGAAAGTGCAATCTGCAAATGGAGGACGTGATTTTTTGACTTTTCACTGTATTTTGCACCAGGAGGCTTTGTGTTGCAAGTCATTAAAGATGGATAACGTCATGAAGGTGGTCATCCAAACTGTTAATTTCATCCGATCCAGAAGCCTGAATCACCGTCAGTTTGACAGCCTTCTCAGAGAGAAAGACCACATCTATGGCCTGCCATACCACACTGAGGTAAGATGGTTAAGCCGAGGTGCTGTGCTGAGGCGTTTCTTTGATTTACGAGAAGAAATTGAACAGTTCATGGAATAAAAGGGCAAACCAGTGTTAGAATTTCATTCCGCAGAATGGATGCAGGACCTTGCATTTATGGTGGATGTTACAAAGCACCTGAATAACTTGAACAAACAGCTGCAAGGGCGCAACAAAGTTGTCACGCAGTATTATGACAGCATACGTTCTTTCAAGTTGAAGCTGTCATTGTGGGAGACGCAACTTGCCGGTGGTGATGCAGCTCACTTCCCCTGTCTGAAAAATGTGTGCGCGACCCAACATGTGGCAGACATGAAGCGGTTCAAAGATAAAATAACGGGACTGTTACGGGAGTTTGAGCAACGCTTTCAGATTTATGTTTATATGTTTTTATGTTGATGTGCTATTGTTTTTAATTGATTTTATTTGTATATTTAACCTATTCTTGACTGTGGTTCTTGCACTTGTTTGGGGAACAGGATTTCATTATTTTTATCTACATTTCTGCCTGAGAAATGACACCCTGATATAGTTCTGTGATCTGTGAAACAGTTCTGTTAAATCACTGAGGCATTGTGTGTTTGTGTGTTCTTTTTCTTTAGAATTTTCAAATAAACTTGACGTGTTTTATGATTAATAGTGATGTTGTGCTTGTACTATTTTGGACACACTGTCCTCAGGCTCCAGCTTTATGTTGTATGTTGATCGTATTAAAACAAAGAAAACAATCTGAAGTTGTTGTTTTTACGTTATATATACACACCATGATTTTTCCGGTCCGGCCCACTTGGGAATAGATTTTCCTCCATGTGGCCCCTGAGCTAAAATGAGTTTGACACCCCTGGCATAACCAGTTAAGAATAACATTGGGATTGAGAGTTACCCTTTAAAAAACTGTACAATGTTCTCTCTGACCCATAGCAAAATTGCAGAAAATTAGCTTTAAAACTGCAAAATGCCGTCTGCTGCAAAGAGGGCCGCTAAAACCGGCCACTACCCATTTGAAAATGATGTTTTATTAGCTGCTTCATCACAGCAGTTGCATGTTCAATAATAGGCTATAGCAGTTTGACTGTAAGAAGATAGGCTTGCTATTGTTGAATGTTTTCATTAAGCTTTTAATGAAAAATGTCAGTTCATTATATGCATGCATGCATATAGTATTTTCTGTTGTTCACGTCATTTTACTGTTTGTTGACCGGTTAATGTGATTTGGTTAGTCGGCAGCAAAATTGACTGAAATTTGCATCCCACAAAGACGTCAGAGCAAATGCAGGTTAGACCACACACACCACTACCCACAGCCACCACTACCCACAGCTCCAGAGGGAAACACACAGCTTCCACACAGGCGACACCAAAACATAGAGTCTCTGAGCAAGACCGATGTGGCCATGGCATTGGTTGTAACAAATCCAAAAGCCATTGAATTGGTACAGGGGATCAATTCAACAGATGGCATGTTTCTTCAGCAACCATTTATAGTAGCCCGTCAGTACAGTGCTACATCTTTGTTAGCCACAGCTCACCTGTCCTCTGTGGGTTAGCCAAGGACAGCACAGCAAGATGGCTGCTGTCATATTTATCCTACTAGGGCAAGGACTGCTCCTGACATGACAGCAGACTAAAAGATGTCTGCAGAAGGATAGCGAGCTGAAGGACAAACACAGGACACAAACATGCACACTTCCTTTCCTCTACAATAACATCACCGCCCAAACAGCTGAAGACTTCAGAGAGTAGGGCTGAGATGTGACCCAGCCCTCAGTGCTGCTCCACCACAGACTAGCCACGTGTGACGCCGGTTATTTTGTATTCTTTACAGCTTGTGGACACAGGCATAAAAACAAATGGAGTGTGTCGCCTGATCTGGTGCCAGCTCTATCCATGTAAACACCAATAAATACACTGAAAGAGAGAAACAGAAAGGGCCATTTAGAGTAAAAGAGAAAACTTTTGACTTCTATCAGTGGGTAACCCGGTAACATATGGATGGGTCTCTAAGCCTGCCTCTCGCTGACTGTGGAAGGTGGAGGTATGGACCCTGCCCAGGTCAAGGCCTCTCTCGCTCTCTGCCATGTGCAGCTGCTCCGGGGAAAAGAGGGGATGGAGGCTGAGCAGACACCCCTCAGTCATAACATCTGGACACAGAATGGGCATCAACAGGCAGGCAGCAGCTAATATCCCTCAAGACCCCAAAACTGTACTCTTCTGCTACTTTCCCAAGTAGGAACTGTAAATAAAAATACAAATTGTCAACAAAAGCGTCCTTGTTAAGGTATCATATGTGTGTGTAGGGTAAATCCCAACCTTGGAAATGTGAGTCTAAGCTGGAAGCCTCTAGGACTAGAAGGTTTAGTAATCGAGAGTTAGGCCTACTATAGAGCCTGTTACTACACCGGTAATGTGACCGAAAAATGGGAAATGGATCTCCTCACGTGTCTATTCACTTCTTAAATAAAGTAAAGGAACAAAATGCTGAGGAAATGGATCCCAAGCGTGTCAATGACCTGAGGAAGGAAGACTGGACCAAGTCTTACACCTACTCCACAGGGCTCCAACACTCCAAATGGGCACAATCACTATTGGGTGACAACAACTTGATCTGTATCAAAATTTGAATTACACTACTACAGTGCAACAGGTTGTCTGTGAACAAAGTAAGCCACAATGGCTACTCTATGCCCTACCAACTAGGGATGTGACAAATCGACCATTTTGTAAAACATTTAAAATACCATATTTTTTTTGTTTTTCCGTTAAAACAATAAGAACATTTAGAAAATTCTACGTGATTCCGTTAATTGATTCCTTGATTCTTGCGTGTCAACTCCCACTTCTATTTCAAGATTAGATTCCGCTAAGATTCAGTATTTTTGCTACGGAGGAGACTGATTAGTTGCCGTACTTCTGAGAACAAACACACTAGCAACGGTTTGGGATTTTCTTAACGTTAAGGATCCCAATTAAACCCCTACTACCAACTCCAATTATGCTAAGGAAGCCAATCCGAATTGAAGAAGATTAAAAAAAACCTGCCCCTGTGCTGTGACCCTTGGTTTGCCTGCTGTTTTTACTTAGTCAAATCTGCATACTGGACCATGCTATCAGTTTAACCCCCTAGAGTTGATTTCCGTGGCCCCGTGGCCATTAATTAGCATAATAAAACAATCTGTCAGTTTAAGCTATAGATTTTTTGCATTGGATAAGTCTCAATCCACTACATCCGCCGATTTCGCACTTCCGCATCTCCGGTGAAAGGAGGCAGCACTAGAGCGGTGTTTGTTAGACCATGAGACATCCCAAAAATCGGTCTTCTCGCGAAAACGTATGTAGCATCCGAACGGTTTGGCCTACAAACTATTATGACTCCTCTATGGAAAGATGACTCTCACAAACACGTACAGGTTGTTTTGCTCTAGGATGCCCACAAGCCTCACAAGACTTGTCTGAAGGTGCCCCGGTACCAGTTTTAAAAAATGAATGAAGATCGATCAGGAAAGTAAACTTTCTTATATCTCTCAGATATAGGCCAGATACTTATTCAGAATTGTTTTTAGATTATTTTGGGGGGGGGGGGGGGGGGACTGTTGATCCATGTAGTGAATCACTTTTTCAATGCGTTTGTATGGGCTACTAGCAGTATAGCTAAATTCAATGTTTCATCAAATAATTTTTCTTTATATATTTTTTTATACTTCAAGGGGTCTTAAAATTCCAAATCAAATAGCTAAATGATCCTTGGTATGACCTTAAAACCCCCCCCCCCCCCCCCCCCCCCCCCCCCCCCCCCCCCCCCCCCCCCCCCCACACCAGATTTAGACAGGGCTTAGACTCTAGGGGGTTAACCATTACATTCTACCCTACAGGAACTAGCATACCGCTATTATTAGGGAGTTTTTCCTAGCCACCGTGCTTCTACACCTGCATTACTAGCTGTTTGGGGTTTTAGGCTGGGTTTCTGTACAGCACTTCGAGATATTAGCTGATGTAAGAAGGGCTATATAAAATAAAATAAAATTGATTGATTATCTTATATTGCACTCAAAGACCATTGGAATGGCCCTTATCACCCGTCTAAGAAACTGACACTCTGATTTCACGTATCTGGTCAACAGCTGAGCAGATGAGGTTAAGCCTAATCAATGGTTTTCAAGGATGGTATACACGTCCAATGAAATGCATATTTACTGGTTCCTTCTCGACAACGAAACAATAAGAAATTATAAAAGATACGAATATGAACATAAAATGGCTCAGTAGAATAGAAGAAACATTTTTGCATAAGTATAATACAGGAAGGCACAAATTATAGTCCAATATTTACACATGTTTTGAGGAAGGGGGATTGAGGGGCAAGTGGTTAAATTGTACAGTATTTAGCAATAATAATAAGAGTCTGGTAGCAGCAGTTTTTGTGTGTGTAGAATGAATGAATGAGTGTGTGTGTGGTGAATCAGAGCAGGTGGTCAGTCCAGTTCAAGTGTTCAGCAGTCTGATGGCTTATAGATAGAAACAGTCTCTGAGCCTGTTGGTATCAGACCTCATGCTCCGATACCGTCTGCCTGACGTGTGGCTCATTTGTGTTTAAAATCAGGTAGGCTAGCTCCTGCCTATATTAGCGTGTGCTGTTGTTGATCTCATTCTGAAAACTCTGTCTGGTACCAAATCTGTCACATTATATCTTTTGATAAGCCCCCGAAAACAATAGATGTGTCTTGGTGTCTAAAATGGTTGAGTGTTCATGTTATTTTTCTTCTGCTTGAATAGTCACTCTACTAATGGCTATTGAGCTATCCCTCCTAAAGCACACATCACATCAGTGTTACTCAGACAGAAGTGCAGGCAGAGGTGACTGGCACAAGGGATAGTGACCCTTTGCACCCGAACACACTACCTAACCAATTTCACCATGCCTATCACCATGGCAACATGTGATAGACAGTGATGATTGATTGTATCATTAAGCCTGTGTGTTTGTGTTGAACCATTCGATCACCAGACTGGCATCTCCAGTTGAACAGAGCTAATGGCTGACTTTATTTTATTCATTTTATTTTTATTTCACCTTTCTTTAACCAGGTAAGCCAGTTGAGAACAAGTTCTCATTTACAACTGCGACCTGGCCAAGATAAAGCAAAGCAGTGCGATAAAAACAACAACACAGAGTTACATATGGAATAAACAAAACGTACAGTCAATAACACAATAGAAAATCTATATACAGTGTGTGCAAATGTAGTAAGTTATGGAGGTAAGGCAATAAATAGGCCATAGTGCAAAATAATTACAATTTAGTATTAACACTGGAGTGATAGATGTGCAGAAGATGATGTGCAAATAGAGATACTGGGGTGCAAATGAGCCAAATAAATAACAATATGGGGATGAGGTAGTTGGGTAGGCTGTGTACAGGTGCAGTGATCGGTAAGCTGCTCTGACAACTGACTTACTGCTGGTTACAGTACGGCTTTGAAGTGGATGATTTTGTTTGCCAAGTAAAGAAGTGTTTGCCATGTAAATTGTTATTTTGAACAAACAGTTAACCTGATTTGTACTGTACTGTGGTGAGTGGGACAGCATTCCCCCAAGAAACAACAACAAATAGGGCCCTATAAAAATCAGGTACATTTTTTACCTGATTCCGTTTTCTCCTTTTGTATAGAAAAACAACAACATTTGAGGTTCTAAGTCCACAACAATGCTTAAACCACATCAGCAGACCACTTTTGAGATCTGGGAAAAATCGAAGAAGTCTAGAAGTGTAGTTACACTTTAATGCAAATTTGCACCAACAAGAGACTGTTGTTTGGTTAGCGATGTTTCTGTAGTGCTCATGTGACTGCAGAGTTTGCAAGAACAAATAGCCACTGGATTGATGCAAATAATCATGACATTATTCTGCCAGGTAAGCATAGGCTACTTTGTTGTTAACATTTCATTAAGAAGGTTTTTACCAGAAGAAGGTTATCATTAGCATCATCGCTAACAGTTACACAGTGTACAGATACACATGCATCGCGCACACACACACACACACACACACACACACACACACACCCTAACGTAGCAGGTGTAAAATAAATGACTGAAACTACATCCTCTACATACTGGTCTTGACGAGAAAGAAAAAAAACTGTAGAGCGAGGTTCCTCTCTGCACTGTTCAATAAATCCAGTAAATGTGGAGAAGGAGTTAAGATGTTCCCCTGAAAACCAGAACATCTGGTTGTTGGGGACCCAGCAGAGGCTACACACACACAGATAGGGGCATTCCTGTGCCGTTTCAGAAAGCTGCAGGAAAATATGAATCACAGATGCATTTTGTTCATGTCTTATGAGTAACTTGGGCAAATTAATGAATTTTCTAATAAGTTCAATACATTTAGTTGATTTCCTACATTTTTGAATATTTTCGAATTCCGTTTTAATGTCAGGATTCCGTGATTCCTTCTGCAAAGCTGATTTCATAGGGCCCTAAACAATCCCACAGCAACAGTACCTTCAACCTGCCACCGTTACACATTCACCCAGTGGTGGTGGTTTATTCTTTACCATGTTGAGTATGTTATGCCAATGGGAAAAAAGGTCAAGACATGTAACTGATCTCCAAACAGCAGTTGGAGGCTCCGTTAGCAATTTGAGATAAAGAAACGTGTGTGTTTATATGTACCCTGCTACATTGGCTAACGGCGAGGGTGCCACAAAGAAGTCTCAAATGAATGGCTAATCAGGAGAAGGCTATCACTGGTTAGAACATTCCTGTCCTGTGTGACCTATGGCCTACTGATTACCATGTTCAAACCCAAACACACAGCCTGAGGGACGGTGACACCGCAAGAATGAGGAAACGTCCCATTTATTTATCATACTAACCCCTCACTTCAGTGACGCCTTACTCATACGATACCTGTATGTTTAGAGGTGTCACTATAATATATCAGTATGGTCTTATCACACTGCTGCGGTCCCAGCAGACAGGCCAGTTTCCTGTCCTCAGTCAGAGAAGAACAGAGGCAGAGAGAAGAAGTGCAGTCAGACCGGAATGACTAGTGTGGTGGCTAAGTGTGTCTCTACAGGGGGTGGGTGGTGACGATGACAGGAACACACGCACACAGACAGGACTGCTGAGGTGGGATAGGGAGGCAGAGTGGGAAGGATCGGGACAAGGCAGAAAACCCATTCATTCAACTTGTCAGAAAGACAGGGGTGGCTGATCAGCCTTGCTATAGGCCTATCCTGTAGGCTACTCTGTTAAGAGAATAAATGTTTGTCAACACTTGACTTAAACGCTGTCATCTCATATCTTTGGATATGTGAGTGAAGTGAATGTGAGCAGTATGTGAGTGATGTGTACATCTCGTCTGGCATCAGTAGATGGAGCTTCTGTTTTGAGATTAGATGATTGATAAGGTCAGACTAAGGCAGATTTGAGACTTTACACAAGCCATCTGAAAAAGAGTACCTGCTAAGTGCAGAGCTACCACTCCTTAACTCTGAACTTCACACTGATTGGTGGGATTTAGGCTCTCTCTTTTCAAGTGGAGGGACATGTAAGATAGTATAACCCCACCATGAACTACATAGCTATTTTATCTCCAAGTCATTGTGTAGCCCCTGTACCTACAGCTTAGCTTGGGTACGTCAGCCCCTACCAGCAGATGTAATGAGTGTGTCACAGACATACACACCAACAAAAAAAATACTTTCTTTGAACACATGGGAAGCTAACAGATAGGATCTCAAGTGAGGGGTTTATCATGGACAAAAGATCCTACTGACTGGTAAAAGGGAGGGGGTGAGCTCAGACAGACACACAGGACTGAACTGTGGAGGGAGGAGGTCAAGGAGGTTATGACACCCTGGGGGATTTAAAGGAGTAAAATAAACTGAAACCCTGCCCGTCTGCCTTTGTGACACTGGACAGATTGCCCAATCCAGGAGGTGAAATATCATTAGAACGCACAAAGAATTTCAAACATGTAGGGTGTGTGGACTTGCCCCACAAGTCAACTCTTTGAAAATGCTCTATTCCAGACAACGTTTCTTAAATCTTTAAGACAGCGAGGAGGCAGAGAAAACTGATGAAGCATAGTGCTCTTTAGTGATAACTTCATTGACTGACTGCATAACACTTCTGCTAATCTTACCCTGGCTAATGGCCGATGCTAGGGAGGTGTGCAGCTAAAAGAAGCCAGGCACACCTGGTCACACACACAACCCAGATAGACAAAATCAACAAAGAAAATACACAGTAATGCATACCTACACTGCTCCTTACCGCTAGTCTTCTACAGTACCGCAACCCTATTATGGCCCTATTGAAAAAGGGGAATAACAGATCTACTTAAGGGGATGCCCCATGGAATGAATCATTTCTGGGTAAAGATGTAAAACCTTTACCATGAAAAATTGAAACCAGCTATTGGGTTGTATTCGTCTGACTATCTTCCTTACTATGGCAACAGTGACTTCCGTGCCCAGGACCTCGCATGGCTTAGGCCACTGACGAAGGCCTGTAATTGGATATGGAGGGCCAGGTGGCCTGGTGATCAGTTGGAGCTGATCTGTCGGTCAGCCAGTCAGTGTCTCTAACTCCCCTGAACAGGCCAGACCTGGGACAGGAGCCTGGAGCTACACAGACCCCTGCGCTACACTCTGAAACACAGCCCGCACAAACGGAGACAATGTGTGGGGCCAGAGGTGACCACGCACACCAGGAATAAATCAAAAAAAGCTTTTCGGGGACTAATTTCTTCCTTCTCAGTATCTCTGAACTGGGGAATATTGGATGGACTTTCTGCAACAGCCCAACATAACATATATTACATCAGGAGCCAAAAAGCTCTAAAGATATTTTCTATTCTTATTCCATTGTTAATCCAGCCTCCCTGCCAGGGCAGCACAGCGCCAGACTATTAGTTAGCTCTTACCTTGCAGTTGTTTGAACCTCCCCTCCAGGATGTTGGAGTACTGCACCTGGTTAACAAACGCCGCCGGGGAGAGACAGGGCTCCCTGTCTCGCTGGTGGTCCAACTCCATGTTGGAGCGCTCGCTCGCTCTCTCAGCCTAAATCACCTCAGGTATGGAGCGCTGCAGTGTGCCTGGGCCAGTGGACACTCCAGCATAGCACAGGGCCAGCAGGGCTGTCCCCAGGACAGGAGCTACCTATAGATTCTACTAAAGAAGCTACAGGTTTTAGTTGAAGAAAATTCTGTAAGATCCAAAATGTGCTTTTTATGGATAGTTTTCCCTCGTAAAATCCCAGTCCTTCTCCTCTAGCAGAATTTATGAGCAGAGCTCGCCATGCTATCCTCCACTTAAAAAAAAATTCCTCCTGTGTTTTCTCTCCCCCTTTCACTTATGCAGGGGTGAAGAAGTTTTTCAAACAAAACTAAGAACAAAATGTTATATTTTCTTTTCTTTCACCTCTTCTGGAATCTGTGCCACACGCCTTGTCTCTGAGCAACGTAGAAACCTTTAGAGCAGTAGAAGTTGTCTTCACATTCACACTCGCACCCACCCTCAAATGAACACTGGCTCTTCCCTACAAACTTTGAGCGTGCATTCAGCCTCACACACACACTACACACACCTTGTTTGAGCACAGCAGGAGAACTGGCTGTGGTCGATTGGCTGTGTAAACAGAGCCTGCTGCTCTCTGAAAGCTGGGGCATTTGCCTAAGGTGTGTTTTAGGGAGGAGCCTGAGAGAAGGGGGGGGGGGGGGGTGGAGAAGTGGAGAGGTGGACTTAACCATTCTGCAACGTACAGTAGGGAGAGGCAGAAGATGGATCATTCCAATCCTTTAAAATGCCATGGTGGTAGTGTAGGAGGTGTGGTCAGCCAGTGAGGTGTCACACAAGCCAGCTAATACTGTTCTTGTTCTCCCATCCTCTGTCTCCATCTCACATCTGATCTCTCTATTCTCTATCGGCTCCACCGCCTAGAACTAAAATAAGGTATTAAGACCGGAAGGAAGTAGTTGAGAAACTGTCAGCAGCAGCAACACGCTCTTTCCTGCCCGAGCAGGGGAGAGTGATGAGTGACAGTGTGTGTGTGTGTGTGTGTGTGTGTGTGCGCGCGCGCGCGCATATGTTTCACTGAGCAATCAGTGAAGTAAACCCTTCTCTGTTTCACACAAGTCAGGTCAGAGCCAGATGCTGTGCTAATCATACAGGAGCCCCTAGAATACAAGTTTCAAGTTAGTATTAGTCATATGTACGGGATACACATGGTATGCAGGTTCCTTCTCGACAATGCAAAAACAATAAGAATAAGATAAGAATACGAACATAAAGTAAATGGCTCAGTAGAATAGAAGAAAATTTTTAGCATAAGTATAATACAGGAAGGCACAATTTATAATTGTGCAGTATTTAGCAATCATAATAAGAGTCTGGTAGCAGCAGTTGTGATGTGTGTGTAGCATGAATGTGTGTGTGTGTGTGTGTGCGTGCGTGAGTGCATGTGTGCTAATGTACAGAATGGTACAGCCTGCCCTGCCCTGTCCAGGGGGCACGTGTTCAGATCTGTTGTTTTATAGGCTGTGTTTGGGCTGCTTTGTGTTTGGCCTGTTAAGGCGGTACAGTGCAGGAGACCTGCAGGCTGCTCTCATTAGAAGATCTAGGGGGCCATGGTCTTTAGAGTGACCAGGTCTTTATAGAAGGAAGTGGCCTAATGAGGCCCAGAGAACAGATGCAGGCCTCTCACTGGGGGGTAAGGGGTTCTGTCGCCGTCGCCAGGGGTGATGAGAGGAGCGCAGAAGTCCCCACAAGAATAGTAAACTAACAAAAACTGGACCAACTGGGGACATTTTGTTGGTCCCCACAAGGTCAAATGCTATTTCTAGGGGGTTTAGGGTTAAGGTTAGAATTAGTGTTAGGGTTATAATTAGGTTTAGGGTTAGGAGCTAGGGTTAGTTTTCGGGTTAGGGTTAGGAGCTAGGGTTAAGGTAAGGTTTTCTGGTTAGGGTTTGGGGAAATAGGATTTTGAATGGGACTGAATTGTGTATCACCACAAGGTTAGTTGTAACAAACTGTGTGTGTCTGTGTGTGCTCACGCCTTGGGATAAAGAAGCTTCCTTCCTCTATAAACAGCTTGTCCACTTGCTGTACAGATGGCTGGATCAACTTCAATTTTCTGCAACTTGTGAAAACAAAGGAGGGGAAAAGTATACAAGGAAGCATTTGGCAGGAGCTCCTGTATGAAGCATGCTGCAATTACAGATAATGGCCCGGTCTACAGACATGAGCAAGACAGTGGAGCAGAGAGCAGAGGAGAGGGGGAGTGAACCATGTGAGAGGGGAAGAGAGGAGCGATCCACTGACAGGGCTGAGAGTAAACACATCTCCACATCCTGCAACTCCTCCGCAAAGACCCAGGCAGGGAGAGAGGCCCAGGGACATTCCCCACACGCAGCTCAGCACACTCCTGCCCCTGCAAAGGCACAGAGCTCATACTAAAACCCCAGAAGGGAGGATAGAGGAGGATGTAGAGTATCACTCAGACAGGCCTGTCCACTGTGATGCTGTTAGAGGGTCTACTCTGTTAGTCTTCTGCACATTCCTCTCTGCTCAAGAACACAGAACAGACTGAACATTCCGGGCTTCCAGTCAGTGAGGAGATATGGGGGGAGGGAGGGCAAGAGATACAGAAAGAACAACCGCACTCTGCAGGCCAGAGAGAGGCATCATGTTAGAGTTGAGGCTGTCATGGTGCTTTTCCAATGAAACTTAACCCCACACCAGTGTTTTATGTTAATGTGGCTCTAGTGTTATTGTGTTTACATCAGGAGTGTGACACTAAAGACTTGAGGCGAGCAGAATCAACAACATCTGCATCATTCAAGACTTGCTTTGTGAGAAAGTGATCTAGTTCAGTCAGCCATTGTTATGTAAATGCCAGCTGAAAAGTACCCAGGGCCTTGCCTTGGTTCCAAGTTAGAGCAGGTCCGCCGGAGCCATGGCCCAGTGAGACACGGGTGCCGGCCAGCATAGATGGAAACAGAAAAGTCTAGGCCTTTTGGGTAAATCGTCAGTGGAAATGCGGCATCAGTGTTCAGGCTCACTGAGGGCCTCATTACATGCACTTTCACACCCTCCGTGTTCCCTTCTCCCCGTCCCTCTGTCAGTGTGTCGTGTTGTACCTTGGTTCCTACCTGCCATGTTACCTTCCAGGCATTTCACACTCCAGTCAGGTGTGTGAAGACGTCGCGGGACGTCAGATCTTACTAGGCCACACACACAGTTGGATGAGTCACACCAACACACACAAACACAAGAAGGAAGTATTTAAATGAACAGCTGAGGGAAGGAGGCACTCCTAGGCCATGGCAGGAAACAGACAGGTAACCAGAGTGCTGCTGATGGAAGTCACAGTGCTGTTGTGCTCTGGTAGTTCCTGGATACAGGCTATACATGATATATAGGACTCTAATCCTCCTCAGACTACGGAGGCCTAGACATGACAATTAGAAACCCATGCAAATGAGCCTGAGCACAGGGGATGATACCACCTCCTTCACTGTGGAGGGGAAGCAGAGGATGATACCACCTCCTTCACTGTGGAGGGGAAGCAGAGGATGATACCACCTCCTTCACTGTGGAGGGGAAGCAGAGGATGATACCACCGCCTTCACTGTGGAGGGGAAGCAGGGGATGATACCACCTCCTTCACTGTGGAGGGGAAGCAGGGGATGAAAAGCGAGATGAGTCACTGATTCTGAGACCCAATAGATAGGAACACAGAAGGGAATCCTATGAATGAAGAGTGAGAGAAGGAAAGAACAGAAGTGTAGAAGAAATGCAGGGTGCTGACAGAGTGGGGAGGAGCTGGGAGAGCGAGAGAGAGAGAGACTGGGGGATAACTGTTGCAGCATGTCAAAGAATGTGCACATCAAGCTCCTACTTGCCAAAAGGAGATGGTATCAGTGGCATTCCCAGGAGATGAGTAAAGAGCACACCCACACCTCCCCTAACCAACCACACACACACCCTCCCCTAACCAACCACACACACACTTCCCCTAACCAACCACACACTCACACCTCCCCTAACCAACCCACACACACTCACACCTCCCCTAACCAACCACACACACTCACACCTCCCCTAACCACCACCACACACTTCCCTACACCACCCCACACTCCCCTCAACCAACCACCACACCAACCACACTCACCCTAACCAACAACAATCCCCCCAACAACACCTCCCCTAACCACCACACCACACACTCCCTAACCAACCACACACCACACTTCCCTACAAACCACACATACCTCCCCAACCAACCACACACACCCAACTAAACACACTAACACACACCACCACCAACACACCATCCAACCAACCCACACTCCCCTAACCAACCACACATACACACACTCTCCCCTCCCCAACCAACCACACACACACAACGCCCCGAACCAACCACACACACACGCCCCAACCAACCACACACACACACGCCCCGAACCAACCACACACACACACACGCCCGAACCAACACACACACACACACACGGCCCCGAACCAACCACACACCACACACGCCCCGAACCAACCACACAACACACAACCCCCAACCAACCACACACACACACCCCCGAACCAACCACACACAACAACACACGTGCCCCGAACCAACCACAACACACACCACAACCCACAACACAACCACACACACACAACCACCCAACCAACCACACACACACACCACCACAACAAACCCCCACAACACCAACCAACCAACCACACACACCCCACCAAACCACACACACACACCCCAACCAACCACACACACACGCCCCAACCAACCACACAAACCACACCCACAACCAAACCAACACAACAACACACCCCGAACCAACCACAACACACTCCTAACCAACCACACACACCCCCCCAAACCAAACACATCCCAACAACACACAACCTCCCCTACACCAACCACACACACCTCCCCTAACCAACCACACACACCTCCCCCAACCAACACACACACCTCCCCCAACCAACCACACACACCTCCCCTAACC